TGGAAATACAATTTTAACATGTATATTTAAACAGCAACCGAATTAAAAATACCTATTTATTATACAATAATAAATAACGTTTGATTGTTTTCAAAAGCTTGTCAAATAGCCTATTTCAACTTTATCTTTAAGTAATAAATATTATGTCAAACACCAAATCTTTGTCCTACATGACGGGCATCTCTCATAAACAGTTTAAAATGGGTACGACATATAACTTTCAAGTTAGCAGTATATTACCATGTAGTTTCGTATTAAGGCTACTAAGAATTCAACTTACGGATACGCTTCTTCAATAACCGTTCTAATATATTAATTACGTTCATTAAATTTCGCTTTTAAGGCATACGTAATGAGGTCCAATTTCGCCCATAGTCTTGCAAGTTAGATGTCACGAATTTCAGCACACGTCCCCAACGTTATCTCGACACACAACAAACAAAATGAAGCCGTGAAAGAAGGGAAGGGTAAAGCGCTAATTAAACGTGAACAACACAAAGATAGTGTTACATTGAGCGACGATAAAATAATACTATTATTAAATATCTTACTAACAACGCAATCTGCCACAAGAACGAGTAGTTTTTCTTTAAGTATTTTAAACAAAACACGCACGAAGTTTAGCACGAACCAATATCGAATTGGAATAGTTGAATTCGATAACGATATCAAGAAGTTTTGTATGAAAGATTTTTGATTACCGTTCCGTCCGTTGTGGCGATATTCAAAGGACATGGCTAAGAAACTGCCCTTAACGTGTATAATTATTTCACAGTAGCCCGTAACATTATAATATTTTTTTATTAATTATCATGTCTTTATTATTCATTCGCATACAACTTTAATGAAATAATCATATATTTAAAAGTACGAAAATTTACTTCATGTCTGTTTCAAAAGGAAAATATTCCGTTTTTCAAATATAAATGTACACAAAAAATATTTGTATAGTAGTAGTTGTTAGTAGTATATCGAAATAAACAATATTAATTCTCAACTCCTTAAAACTATGACATATTTGTCCCTAATTTATAACAAATCACTGAAGGCCTAAAATAGTAGATTTTATTATTCTAATCATGCTCGAGACAAGACTGTATGATAATTAATCCTTTGATTTTTGCAAGTGAACAAAATAAAACTTCACAGACTTCCTGTCACGCCGATGACAATAAATTATATGTATTTATTTTTGCATTAAAAACACTTTTTGTGATGTGAAAATGCGTAATTGATGTTACATAGTAGGCGTTCTCATAACTTTCAAGATTGTGACTTTATCCAAAGTTCCTGAGCCTTTTTTCATAGATATTATAAACATTCAGCCATTCAGCATTAAATATTACTAATTACAATATTCATACATTGCTAGGGCAGTCACTCATACAAAAATTTACCACGTCCTTTCCATACAAAACTCCTTGCCATTTGACGCATGTAGAATTCAACTATTCTATTCCCATATTGGTTCATGCCAAGGGTACTTGTTCAGTAAAAAGGATAACCTATGCAGAAATTGGCTAGATACATAGCTCAATGTCATATTAAGTCATAGCTCGTGGTTCCAATATTCCACCCCGGGGTATCATGGCAAAATTATTTAAACAGAAGAACACAATAGATTTCTCATTTTGTAACATCCTTCAGTAATAATGTTAACAGCTAGAAATTACTATTTATTAATTAAAATCGAGCAAGCAATTACGTTTTAGGCCACTAGTTAAGGGGGACACTTTAGTCATAAATTACATTATACCAGAAATTTTAATTTATTGATTTCAATTAATCTTTCCATTGATAAACCTATTAATTTTTAAAACATTTTATGTTGTCCTGAATTCAAAGAAATTATACATATACAAGAAGGAAGCAATATACACATATCTTTTATGATTTCATTGTTTAATTTGCCCATTTCAAGTCTGATTGTAACAAAGCAGCTTTATCGTGTATCTAGCCAACGTTTTGTTTAAAACAAACTTTACATTGCAAATATTATTTTTAAAGAAACTTTCACATTGAAACCCTTTGATGATTAATCCTTTAACCATATTCGATGGTCAGGCAAGTTCCACTTTATAATACGCGACAAGAAGCGAGGAGATAAGTGAGAATATTCAAAGAAAATTATAAAGAGCACTTGGCGACCACCGAAAATATGTGCAAGCTTTGAGCACAATGTCTTGTCACATTCTTATTTAAATTTCTGACACAAGCTTCCATGTATTCATAGCTTAATAGGCTAGGCGTTTGACTACAATCTCGCATGATGGAAAGCGATGATGAGGCCTAGGCGTACCATGTACGCGCCTGCCCAGAAGATGCCTGTTCACTCTAGCCTTGAAGATGTCCAGATTAGATTGGTCCGGGAAACAGACCTCAGTAAGGAGTTCCACTCCCTAGCCGCTCGCATAATGAAAGCGGAAGCAAATCGCTTCGTGCGAATGGGAGGAACTTCGACAACATAAGGGTGAGAGCCCTCGTCGCGCCTGATCGTCCGGTGGTGGAAAGGGGAACGTGGGATCAAATTATATAAAACTTCCGCACACTCTCCGAAATGTAACCAATGCCATTATGGTTTGCGCAGACGAGGGTCTTGCCGCCTAAATAAATCGCTTAGAAATGCATAGTGATTTAAAGTCCGACGTACAAAAAGTTGACCGAACAACCGGAGACAGAGAGACCGGACAGGACAAAAGAACCGGGATGTCCCCGGAAAAAAAACTTAAGGGACAGACCCAATATTGTTTTTTAAAGCGTCTTCTCTTTTTTGGTAACTTCATGTTAATTACAACACAATGTATCTGTGAATATCTACTTCCGTCCATGACAAGTCCTTTGAGGACATTTTTTTTCATGATTCCAGGCCTTTTGTCTTCGGAGGACAAAAGTGTACTCATATGCCATTCATGATAAATAAAAATTGACTCCAAGGCGGATCCTTTAGTTAATACTAAATAAATTTTTCGGGTAAATAAAGATTCTTTTTATTCTACAAAATAGTTTATAATAATATGATCTTTTGTTATAGGAAACTGATTTATTGATATCTAACTTAATGTGTTACGTTATCAAATTCATTTTAGTCATTTTTTTTTAATTTATTTAGTTTTTAGGCGGTTAAATTGCGAAAATAGGCGGAGATTATTTTATCTACGGTTTTTGTTTAAATATTCAATCGATATACATTTATATTTGACCAGAATGATGATGAGAATGATTTCGAAACATGTATTACGATGGTATACACATTACAAACTCAGCCCCTTATTAATTATTAACCGAGGAATGAGCTTAGACTAGTTACACTGTGTTTTGCTCCTATCACTCAAATGACATTTGTCATTCAGAGACAAAAAAGCAAGTAGAAAATAATCCAAACTTATTCTGCATTAATTAATAAGCGGGAGCAAGTTGAAAGAACTTAGTAATTCCCGTGAATTTTGCGATTTGTCAATTATTTAAATGGGACACTCCCTCATTTACCTATATTTAGGAAAAACAAATGAGTCCGTTCAATTTTAATATTGTGATGACGTCATAAGCCCGTACCGTGTGACAGATTGCAAATACAAAACAACAAACATTGTACAAAAACAGATGCAAGCAACATTATTTTCCTTAACATCTACGCGTCGTGTGGGTATTTTTATTTTTTAAGTTTTTTTTTATATATTTTTTTTCCACTGGTAATTTCTAAAATTCATGTCTCCTTTTTATCCGTTGTTTTTTTAGTTTTTTATTTTTATTTTCTTAATAGTCGTCGAGGTCCACGTCATCCAATGGTTCGTCCAGTTGAAGGGATTGGAAATCAACTTTGTATCGCAGTATACCTGTTGGTTTGTTCGTAAACGTATAATTGTTGTTTGATTCATCCGTTGTCCGAGCAGCAAGGGGAAAGAGAAACAGGACACGATTAGTAAAAGCTCTTATACAATATTAGTAATATATTATTGATATATGTATATAATACGTTATTTAATAGCTATAATAATTGAGGAGCTGGCCGAACAAAATGGTATAATTACATAAAATTAAATTTTACAGGAGCTGTATAAAACTGAATGACATACCTCCAATGAGCTTTTGGCATGGTTTTTAATTTATGAATTTAGTAACTTTAACACTATTTTAGGCAGTTTTAATTGAAAATTATTTGAGATTCAAATTCAAAGGGCCCGAAACCTCCGGCCTGTAAAAAAAAATAGTTTAACAAGATGCGTAATTATACTGTTTTGTTCGCCAGCTCCTCAATTGTTATCTAATAGCTATATACAGTAGAGAAAAATAGCATTTAAAGGACACGGATCAAATTTGTTTGGAGAGTTAACGTTAATAACTGCTAGAGACTAAAAAATTAGTAGACAGACGAAATTGTTAAATTTTCAAAAAAGATTAATCAGTGATAAAAATTAAAATAATAAATATCTATTCATGTTATTACATAAAACAAGCTTTCAAATGATATTTGTTTCATTGTTGTGGGAAACCGACTACGACTTTTGAACAGTCTCCTTTGGCTATCGTTAAATCCTATAAAACAAAATACCATTTGTCAAAATTTGAAACGTTTACTATATATTTGTTGTTGCATTAAGTAAATTTTACTGTAGATGAAATGAGGCAGCCTAACCCTAAAGAAAATATTACTAGAAAAAAAAATCGAATCTGTCCAGGTTACAAACGGGGCTCGAACCCGTATCTTCCGCAGTGTAGCTTACCTACACTGTAAAGAGATGGCGCTGCCTAAGAAATACTGGAGGAAATTTGACACGGCCATTAAATAGAAAAATAGAAAATATAAATACATGAAGCCCATCCATTTAGAAGCAATATTTTTTCTTAAGCGATCTTGAATAGTTCTCAATATTTATCCGTGTATACTAAAATGTTGTTTTCTTTTCCAAGTTTTTTCTCCGTTCCATGGCTATGTGTGAGTAAAATGTTTGCTTATATATGTATATCTATGTCTATAGTGAATATATTGTTTATATACTAACCGCCTATCCCTCCGAATCCTCTCACAAACTGGCTGCCCTCCTGGCTCTTGTCGGTGATGATCTCGAGCGTGGCCCCGAACGACTTGTAGTTGTTTGCGAGCCACTCGAGTAGGGGCTGGCATTCAACCAGCTCCAATTCTACGCCACTCTGGTAGGAAAGGTATGAATATATATTTCATCATCATCAGCCTACTAATATCTCCACTGCTGTGGTACATGCCTTCCCTATGGATGGAATAGGGAGATTGGGCCATGACCCACCACGCGGGTATATAGTTGACACCCTGGATTAACACATAGGCTTCGTTTTACTGCGGGAAAATAGCCCTAATAAACCGCGGGACATAGCTAGTTGATCTGATAAAGCGATCCATCGACATTGACTGTCATACTACAATGGAGTTCAGTTAAGTGTTGATAAGAAGCTTTAACATATATTACGCTGTTTATGTTACGGAAACTGACCTGGGAGCCAATCGCCTAACCGGAATGTTATGGCTATCGCTATCGCCTACGATTTCATTTTGTTATTTCTGACCGCCGAAGGATTTCAAATGCCTCTCGTTTTTTTATTATTTTGCATTGGTAATAACAATATTAAAAAAATGAGCGCGAGGTATTTGAAGACATACAACGTTCAGAAATAACCATTTTAAATCGTAAGCGATAGCGATGGCAATGCCGTTAGTCGAATGACCCCCTGGTCGGTCCTAATTAAGAAAATGTTTTAAGAGTAGTCCAGTTGCAAACCAATTATACCATAAATGAGGAGCTGGCGAACAAAACGGTATAAATATTTAAAATAATTTGTAAAAAAAACCACGAGCTGTAAAAAGACTAAATGCCATACCTACAGTGAGCTTTTGGCATGGTTTTTAATTAATATATTTAGTAATTTTAATACTGTTTAAAGCAGTTTTGATTGAAAATGATTTGAGATTTAAATTCAATGGGCCCGATACCGCTGGACTGTAAAAAAGCAATAGTTTGACCAGATGCGCAATTATACAGTTTTTTTTGCCAGCTCCTCAATTATAATATTAATAAAATAGTATAGATTAATAGATAAAAAAATTATCTGTCTCACCTCTTTATCAGTGAAATGTGACTTGTCCTTCTCTTGCTCGGGGGTGAGATGCAGGATGGTCTCCTGGTTGGTAGCGTGAGATTTCAGCACATATCTAGAAATAACAGGTAATTATTTATTAAAACTTGCAATCAATGTTTGCGGTGTGAATATGAATTTCTAATAAACCAAACAACATAATATTATTTATCTGGAATACGTATTTTTGTAATTGTATACAATTGTGTATAGTAAAATGTATTTTTTTTCATTGAATCTATTAATTGTTAATTGAATTGAATTAAAATCACTACATAGTATAAAGCAAAGTCGCTTCCCGCTGTCTGCCCCTACGTCCCTATGTATGCTTTAGATCTTTAAAACTACGCAACGGATTTTGATGTGGTTTTTTTAATAGATAGAGTGATTCAAGAGGAAGGTTTATATGTATCCAATCCATCCTTATCTAATTAAGTATCTTAAATACATTGTGCATTTAATATAGACCAATTTGGCCCTTTAACTCATGTAATTTAAATGAATATTTTCGGTCGGTTCCGACGCTACCAGGCGGGGGGCCTGGCGGCGCGTGCTTATTGTAATTAGGTATTAGAAGAATGTCATTGTGTGTAATACAAGCCTGAGAACAAAAACTATAGTCTATACTACAGCTCTAAACCGAAGCGAAGCGAGGGCGGGCCACTAGTGTAGCATATATGATAATTGTGAATATAATCAATATGGCGGATAATTTGGTAATTGAAGAATGATTTATTAATATACTAATATAGGATAAGCCCGACATTGTTACTAACTTGTAATAATAATAATAAAATCATTTCATTACGAGCTCCATATCAAAATTAACAACAATTACATTAAAATAAATAATAATAGCAATAAAACAATACATTTAAAAATCACATATGTCAAATTAAATTGAAATTGAATAATAATTATATGGATGTTAATCTGAAATAAATTGTTATTATTATACCATGGTGCAAACGAGGGGTAAGCAGGCTGATACATGTGTCCGGAAATATAATAGTAAACTCACCTCTGTATATCAAGGTTCTCCCAGCATATGAGCGTTTCAACGGCACCCAGCTCGAGGGCTCTCAACGTATCGTCCACACCGAAGCAGTATTTACCCGTGTCCTGGTAAACAACATATTATATATATATATTTATTGACTACTTCTACATGTGTAATAATAATGTTTTATTTCAGATACTAGATCCATAGAAATGTTAGTAACAATCAAACCTTAAAAACTATGTAAGTACATTTTAATTTGTTTTAATTCATAGTTTAAATAAAACAAGTTTCAACAGATTAGATGCACTGAATTTTTTTTATTTATTGACGTTTCTCATCCTTTGCAGGAATGCGTAGTCGGAATAATGATTTTTTATTTAATTTGTCTTGTTTTATTTAGGTGTACAAGAAAACCTATGAAACAAATATTCATTGTTTAGTTGAGTGTTAAAATTAATTGTATAATTTTGACATTTGGAAGTTACTTTAAGTGCTGTTCTTCATACATTACAATCAAATATAAAAATCATATGAATTTATATAATGGGATTGGCTAGCAGAAATCTCTTTTGAATTGAACCATTAAAATTTAATGTATGTAACGTCTAAAATGAATCATTCATAAAAATCAACGAAACATAATTCACCTTATTGATAAACAAAGAAAAAGCTTTAACATGCAGTTGACGTATTCTGAGTAGGGTTATTGTATGCTGTTATGCATTTAGAAATATTGGGGTTGGTAGTAGAAGGGTGAAAATTTAGGGTTGTATGTATTTTTGTATGTTTCTAAAAAAATAAAAACAACAAATTCAGCCCGAAAAAAATAAGGGTGAACCACCCTTAACAGTTAGGGGGATGAAAAATAGATATTGTCCGATTCTCAGACCTACTGAACATGCATATATAATTTCACGAAAATCAGTCGAGCCGTTCCAGAGGAGTTCAATTACGCACACCGTGACACCAGAATTTTATATATTAGAGAATTTTAATTATTGTTTAACAATCTTTTGCGTTTTTTCCTAGTATTAAAATAATCACTTTGTCGCTTAGCAACAAAGTTTTGTTACTTGTTCTTGTTTATAAATACGACACAGATAGTCCATTTTCCCCACTGTAAGAAATATCATTGTGTTCATATTTACCTGCGAGATCTCATCAAAGTATCGTCCGATGAGCTTCTTTTCCTGTATGAACTTGACGTTTTGCAAAGACTCGGCTGCCAGCTCAATGGCCTGATTGAATCCGTTCTCTCCACCGTAGGAAACATCCACCAATTTTATGATCTTGGCTTGCAAACGCTGCAGCAAGGAAAAAGAAAGGTTTAGTTTATAAAGATGACAACGATGATGTTAACGTAGCTGGTATTTTAATTTCTGATGCTTAGAAAAAATAAATAAAAAATAAATATGAATTTAAAGAATTCATAAACTAAACAATAACATAATGTGGGCAAAGTCCTTATCGCATTAAGCGATCTCTTCCAGACAACCTTAGCGGTAAAGGATAGTTAAACGAAGAGTAAGTTGTAGTATGCCAGCAAGATAAAACAAAGAAATATACATATTTTCTTGAACATAAAAAGATTATGAACAAATAAATAACATATACCTATACAAATATATAGATACTCTATATACCGATTCAAATATAAAAGAATATTTCTAATTTGAAGATATTTAAAGCCAAGCAATACCCATTCATATTGGCGCCGGTGTGAAAACACCGGAATAGCAACTACCGGCAGCGATACTGGTCTTTTAAGTATGAAGATAGTTTAAAATTATTTCACAGTGAGTGTTTGCCGTGTCGCTCGCTGCCATTGAATCTATCCTGAATCAAGGTTACATTTCAAAAATCTAAATTTAAAGATACCTATCGACATTGCCTAGATCAACGTTTAAATCAGCATTTATGTTAAATTTTATACTGTGATCAAAGACAAAAATCTGTACGCCCAGTTCAATCTTTGATAATTTTATATCTTATTTTGTCTCTTTCACGTGATCATCATTATTACCATCATCCTATTAATGGCCCCACTGCTGGGCACAGGCCTTCCCTATGGATGGAACAGGGAGATTGGGCCACCACGCGGGCCTAGTGCGTATTGGCGGGTGCTGACGACTGCAGATGCAGCCGGGACCAACGGCTTAACGTGCCTTCTGAAGCACGGAGGAGGTCGAGATAGTAAATTTTTGGTCACCCATCCAAAGACGTCGGTCTTGCGACCTTGCTTGGACTGCGAAAGTTGCTTAACATCAAAGATCGCAGCCGAACGCGATAACCACATGCGCCATCGAGCTCCACGTGTCACGTGATGCTATCATATAGATAGATAAGACTTTATTCGCACCAACATGCATACATACAAAATTGACAAGACAAATTTTAAAATTAGATAAATCCTTTTAAATATGCAAGAAATTATAGTTATACAACTGTACTATGATATCATATAAACTATATATGTATCAACAAAACAATTTCACACTCACCGGATCAAACATATCGGACTGCGAGAGCTCAGTCTTGAAGTCAGCGGAACCAGCAAGGATCAACCCGGCTACGTTTGGTCTATCAGCACTGATGAACAGCTGAGTGGCCACTTCGGCCACTTTCCGTACGTAGTTGTGACGTTTCTCCATACGGAGACGGGCGAAACGCAAAGCGGACTGCCCACCGCGACCGTGCTTCTTGGGCAGATCGACGGTAAACTTGTGGAGGACCTGAACAAATTCAATATATGTAGTAAATATTAAAGTCTGTCCTGTAGTAAACAAGATAAGAACCTTAATAAAGCTATTTTGTATTAAAGAATAAGGCTGCAGAACCGGAATAATTATAATTTAGCAATACCAAATACGGAACCAATAAATTTTATACTTCTTAAGAAAAAAAAAAAGTGTTTTATTTGTGTCAATTCTGAACACAATTCCATAATCCCATTTTCCCCCATTTAAGTTCAGACACCAATAATAAAAAAAAGGATACATAGATATTAATAATGATGATATCTCATAAAAGCTGAAGTTTCAAGCTTTCAAATGACATATCATTTTTATTAAAATGTTGTATACTTTTACTTATAACAATGTTTGAATGCGCGAGTTTTGAATGTTGAAATAGCGCTTGAGTCGATATGGTTGCTCTCGAGTGTAGATACGTCCAAAGGTGACAGTGATTGCTTACCTTCAGGCAAACCGTATGCCTTCTACAAATCAAAATAAACAGGCTAAGTGTGAGTACAATATTTGAAACAAGTCAGAAATAATGACGTTTCATGGATTGAGATCCCCTTTGTAGTTAAACTTTAGTCTATTTTTATTACAGTAATACTCATTCTGTGAAAATTTTAGGTTTCAGAGCCCTATGACAGACGAACAGACGGCAAGGCATACAAATAGGGCATAGGGTTCTGTTTGTCACCCTTTGGATACAGAATTCTAAAAACTAAACTATGCAACGGAATGTTATGACGATTTTGAAGTTTACAATTAGTTTTATATAAATTAGATAATTATTCCGGAAAAACCTATTTTATTATTCCTAAAAATGGTTATTGTATACTTTACTGCAAAACTCACCTCTCTAGTGTTTCCTTGTAGCGTACCAAACAGGGCTCCGTTACCATCCATGACGATGAAACCAAACTTGTTGTCATCAGCCAGAAGGGCAGTCAACGCTTCGGTGTGGAACTTATTGTCGCACAAATAGAGAGAGGTGTTGATGGGCTTGAACGGCTCGAAGTCTATGTTGACCTTCTTTTCTTTGCCTTCCTCGGTGACGATGGTGCCGCAGTAGATCACGAGGCCGTTTGGTGGCACTGTGTACAATAAGTAAAATAAATAACACTCATACAAATTAATTACCTTAGCTCTGAAGCGAGCACTGTATGGCATGTGTTATGGGATACTAGTTTAACAGATAGAAATACATACAAGGATACATATATAACTATGTTTTTATAGAAATAGATATAAACAGCGCTACAGGCGATGCTGGGGTTGCCACCTCTACATCTTAGCGTTGTAAGAGAGGAGGCGACTCTAGCGACCTTCAGGCTCGAAATATTCAGTACCCGAAACAGGGATTCCAGAATCAAACACATAAGCACAAAGGAGGATGCAATCAAGCTACATCCCATGATGGCATCACCCAGCGACAGAACTATAAAAAACACAGTTTCCAAAAACACTTCAACATAGAATTCACAGTTGAGTTGCATAACTACTTGGGTCCGAAAGAACTCAGGATTTACACTGATGGAATAAAGACTAACTGTGGAACTGTGGAAAAGTCGGAGAATTCTCGAATGACCTAAACATCAGAATATCCAGGCCCCTAGTTACGCTCAACACCGCGCGGCCAGTCGGCAACGGTTGCCGCGACCACACCCGCACTCCCGGCGTGCATTGGGGGACTGCAGTCCTCAGAATGTAAGCCGGGTGACCGGTGCAGGAGTGTTGTTTGGTTTTTAGTGACCCTGTTCAGGCTCAACACTCTCTATCAAGCAGAATGTGTTGGCATCATACAAGCAGCACACGCCATAGAGGCCAGGAAAGTGACGTACAACCATATCCGTATACTTTCCGACAGTGCCTCAGTTCTTCATTACTTAAAGAAGAATCAAATCGTGTTAAAGTTATTACTAGAATACCATAATGCTCTAGAACAAGTTACGGTACTGATCCGAAATACAGTGACACTACAATGGATTAAGGGACACAGTGGATCACTTGGTATCGATACAGCCTATGAACTCGCGATACAAAGGCCATCGGACCCGAACCCATTCCCTTCAATCAGCTAAGAAACTGGTTAAGGGACTACACACAAATGCAAGCGACGGATTGGTGGACCTCGTTAACAGGATGCAGGCAATCTAAGGAAGCTATGCAATCCCTAGACACAAAGCCGAAGAGGAATAGCCTGAGACTGGTAGGGGGGACTATCACTGGACACTGCTCACTGAACAAACACATTCAAACTCTAGATATCACTGATAGTCCCCTATGCAGAGCAACCATGGAGGCCGAAGAAACGGTGGCACATGTGCTCCTTGAGTGCACAGATGTCGCCCAGATCCGCAGAGAGACTCGGTACACCAGAATCCCTGAGAAGACTGGGTAGACTGATCTGATTCTGGCGGGAGGTGGGCTGGTTGGAGTAATCAGTCGCTATGGCTCACATACAATGGTCCAGTTATGGACTAAGTGCGGAAACCATATCCTCTGACATAGAACCCGATTGCGTGATGCAAGCGTAAAGCGCGAGTCGCAGAGAGGGCGTTGTGTTTATCAGCCTATATTTTGCTGTCGTAACATCTCTCACAATATCTAAACATCCTGGGATATCAACAGTTTTGGGTGAATATAGTTCAATATTTTAATGTGAATGTATCGCACCATCACTCCAGATGTAACACATAAAAGTTTGGCTGTTCTAAATTGAATCGTAACTAAAATGAGGCTTGTGAACTCAACTCATTTTCTCCATTTTCAGTTATGGAGTGGATAAAGGCAGATCGCGACCATATTGGTGAGTTTGAGATGTGGTGTTGCTGGAGAAAGAAGCTACGGAGTCCTTGACAGCATTACACAAAAACCAGTTCTCGAAAAATGGGGTATAGAACTCTGCTGTGTGGCTTCGTAGAATATTGGAGTTTTGACACATTGCCATAAAGATAGCCACAATCTCGAAAAACTGGTGGTTATTGGGAAAGTAAGCGTTCTGGAGGTCGTAGCACAATTAGATACTCTGATCAAATACGCAAAACACTGCACACCAAGCTCCACGACGCACCTTACGCTGCCAAGGATCGGAACAGATTGCATATTGTCAATGAGAGTTCCCGCGGGGAAACGGGGACGAACGCTGGCACGAAAACGACGTCAGGAGGAGGATGGCTGTGCTAGAGCCTAGTTCAAGTGCCATAAAAATGATTATTTTCAAAGAACATTCTTGCAACATCATATCAATCAAGTGTAAAATCATATCTATACTATTATTTTTTCATATTTGTAATCTGCAATCGGCTCCTTAGCCATAATCAGATCAGCTTCATGATTACAACATTAGAGGCGATATTCCATTGATTTGAGAGGAAATGAAATTTAAATTCTCTGATGAAGGCCTAGGACTCGCCATCTTTTTAGGTGTTTCACATTGTCAATTGAATTTAGTAGGTCTCTTGCCAGTTCTGATTGTCAAATCTCTCTTTGTATCTCTTGCTTGTTTCGGTAATTTCTTCTCTAACATCTCACATCTCATATTTCTCACAAACCAGTGTACGCTTGAGATGGTTCTTATGCGCTTACCACACGCACAAGCTTCACCACAGTTTGACCTGCGCAAGCATCTCGCACGAAAAAACTGTACACTTTGTGCGTTACCACACGGCACAGTTAAGTACGCGCAAGCCTCATTCTTATCGAAATCATTGGCGTGGAAACAATGTTTCCTAATGAAGAAACATTTCTTATGCTACTATTTTTCAAGTGTTTGCTATTAAAAAGAACATGTAAAAACGATAGGATATGTACATAATATGTGCAAGTAGTTGGTAGTAGGTATTAGGCATAGGTATTTAATTGCAAAAATTATGTTCTTACCTCTTTCATTTTATTTATCATTATTTCGTAAGTGTCGTTCTTTTTATTTCGGTCGGAATAATCTTTAGATTTAATTTTCCAGAGTGCAGGCAGAGATTTGTATAAACTAATTAATTCAGACGTGAATTCGCGATTGTACGTACGCAAATCTGCCATTTTTAAGTGACGATGACGAACGACCTCATGAAACGACGAGCGAGCCTCGACTCAAAATTAGAGATGTAACGACTCGACTTTTCAAACCGGTTCAAACCGGTTTGAGCATGGACCGAGTTGAATCGGTTAACGTCTTCGTAAACCGGTTCTACCGTGGCATTCGTTCGTATCGAGCTGCGCGCATACGCGCCTGTCAATTCTTGTTTATACCGCCATCCACAAATCGCGTGCGGCTCCTGACGTGCTTTACCGACCAATACGAACCGACTTACAGCAGCGGATACGGTTAGCGTGCATCGTCAATTTAAATACAACAGCCATAACCGACTTACCGACCGCACCGAAATGAAACGGACTCTGGTAGATTTGACTGACTTGACGGTGTAATTTTGTTTTCATTATTATGTAATATGCAACGTAATTGCCCAGCTTCTAAAAAAATAGACCAAATATTATTCCTAAATAGTTGTAAGAAAACTTTTAATTAAGTTGTTTGTACCAAATTAAGTTTCTACGACTCAAATGATTTTACAAAAATAAGTTACGTATTTATTATATTATTGATTATTAAAATTGTATTTTATTCTCAAAGTTAAGAAGTACGGTTTTATGTAATTAATAGAGTTTATATATTTTTTTTGTAATTTTTTAAACACGGTATTACATAGATATTTGTTTATTTTTATTTTGACATTTTTAATTCTGATTATTATTATTTGTTTTCATATTTTATTTGTTATTTTTCAATTACCTTTAAATATTTGCACGATGTAATTCAACAAAATATTGTAGAATTAAAAAAAATAGCACCTGTTGTTTCGTAAGTTTCATTCGTCAACTCGTCAAACGGTTCAAACCGGTTCAAACCGCGGTTTACTGAAAATTTGGCGGTTCGGTTCGGAAACCGATTTGCATGTATTACTAACCGATCAAATCCGGTTTGTCAAAATTCAAGATCGTAACATCACTACTCAAAATACACTCGACTGTGGCTTGAACACTGAACGCCCAACCACACGCACAGACAAGTACGCGCAGGCCGGGCTTGCGCAGGCAAAATTTCAAGCAAGTCGAAAAGTGCGCGCTGTGGGGTTGGCGCGTGATACAGTTTTACCAACTACACGCACCGTGTTCCGTGTACAAACCGGCCTGCGCAGGCAAAACTGTGGTGAAGCTCGTGCGTGTGGTAGGCCCATTAAAGCGATATTTTGAAATAACTGTGAGATCTCGAAATTAGTTGTTTGCAGAGACCCAGTGTTCGATACCGTAAGTCCAGATAGGTTGTATATACCAAAAGCTTGTTAATTAGTGACAGCGGTGATCGACGACCTAGCAGCCAATTCAGTGACTGGAATTGGAAGTTTGTTTGTGTTTTTTAGGCTTTGATGTGGTTAGCCCATGGCAATCTTCTATCGAGATGCAATCCTAGATATTTAACACAATTGTTACTTGAAAACACCTTGTTTTCCAAGTATACGGGTCGGCAGTTATCTCTTCGAAGTGTGAATGTTACTTGGACGGTATTTTTTTACAGTAGGTTTGATTTTCCAGCTCAGTAGCAAATTTCTACTTTGTTGAGCTGTGCTTGCAAACTCAGTGATGCATTGTTAGAGTCTTTGTCGCTTGCAAGGCATGTTTTGTCGTCTGCGTAAGTCGCCATTACATCTTCTGTTTCAGGGAGATCTGCCGTGTGATCTGAGTACACAGCACTGGCCCAAGGAATGAAAAAATGAAGATGAAAAGTTTGTTTGGTTGAATGCGCTAATCACAGAAATTACTGGTCCAACTTGAGAAAGTCTTTGGTGTTGGATAGAGCATTCATCGAAGAAGGGTATAGGTTAGAAAAAATAAGGATACAACCAATAGGAGTGGCTGGAATGGTCCAATTAATAATGTTGCAAAAACCAGAAAAACAGTGAAAGTTACACACAAATTATATATCATGGTTTTGTTCTTATTTAAAAGTTGTATAAAAGAATTTGCGACAACATAATAATATCTCTATGTTATAAGGGTGATCCATTATAACCTTTTTACTCAAATTAATGCAGGTTAAACCGCAGGGCATCTCTAGTATAATAAAATTATAAAGCTATTAATATTCCCAATGAATATTATTCAATATTTATAAACTCATGCTTTTGCCTCAAGCAATAAGTCACGCCATATAATGCAACAACTTATCGGAGCTATTCAGATTACGGTTACAGTTTATCGATTGACACAATGCTATTACAGTGCATGTAATTGCAATTTTTCATGCCAAAACTGTTGACTAAGATTTTATATTTAACGGCTAAAATGAGAAAGCGATTTTCCAAAGGAGTGTATGTATTGCTAAAAATATAAATTATAGTTTATAAAAAAATATGTTATCATGAACTTTATACACTTATAAGATTGTTCAAGAAAACAAGACATGAACAAAACAAGTTTATTCATCTGTCCCATTAGTAGGGAACCAGATATCTTTGTAACAAAAACAATTAGGTAATATAAGATTAGGAAGTTGACATTGAGGTTAGTGTCCATAGTCAAGGACATGACCAAACAGGAATTACAGGTTGCATTTACTTACTTAATCCTGTCTGAATCCTTAACAAATGCTAGGAATTAGGAAAATTGAAGAAATCTGAACTTTTGGCAATTTTGAGATAAAAATGTGTTATCCATCAAAATACCCCATGATGAAGGTAGACAGAAGATTGTTTAATGTTTCCATGTGCAAATTTTAAATAAGTTTATTTATTTTACTCAATTTTAATTAGATTTTTCATACTAACTTAGCTAGTAAGCAAGCATTCACACACTTATAAGTGACAATCACCAAAGTGAAAGTGTTTTTAATGCTATGGCCACAGCTGCTAATATTCTTGTTTCATTGTGTGTATAAAACTTTCAAAGTCGAATTACGACAATTACAATGAAGAAAGCTAACACAACATTCTGTTATCACGACATCGCGAATATTTTAAGCGTTCTTTTCAGTGGTTTGTATCTCGGGGATTCACAAAGTTGGTTCATATTTTTCTATGAATTCCGATATTTCCTAATTAATCTAAACCAGGGATTGGAACCTACGACTCGCGGGCCATCTCTGGACCTCGAATTGTTGAAATCCGGCCTGTGACCATCAAACATAAATGAAAGGTACTCACCAAGCAGTACTATTTTTCACATATTCAGACCATTTATTTATTTTACATCAAACTCAGAGGCGTATTTACCCTGCTGTTGAGCTGTAGGCTGCGTGGGGGGTATTAGTTACTGAGCTATATTTTGGATTTGATTCACAAATTCTTAGGGAGGGGGAGAGGGGATGCAAATCGTACCGGTGTCCCGCCATAAATTCTGATACTAAATATTGGCACTATAAGGTAAAGCCTTGCCCATCCCTGCTCTAAACTGCCTGTCTATGCTTGCCAGCAAATATTTTGTATACAAACAAATTAACTCAGCAGTCGTTTTTACACGTAAAATTGCTACATACTCTGATAGCTTCATTATCAAGATACTTAGACCAACATAGCCGGTAAGGTCATACAAACCTTTCGTGTACAGTTTCAGTCGGTGCTGCACAGATGTGATGGCGCCGAGCACAGAGAGCCGGTTGACTCGCGACTTGATGTTGGACGCGGTGCCAAACTCGTCGGCCAACATCTTGGACACGCGCGAGATCTGATCCTTCGGTGGAATGATCAGTGAGATCATGGATGTGCCATTGCTGGAAAACAAAATGTCAAATATTAATATTTTTTTAAGTAGGTGTAGACAGACCCAAGCAGGGACTTTGACAGTTCTATAATTGTATCGCATCATCAAAGTTTTCATTCATGCTGGGGCCTCTGTATGGAAATGGGAAACCTAAATAATTTAACAACATATAGCGTCTTTAAATAAAAATAAAATAATAAATAAAAAGACTTTTATTTAATATTTTTGAACTATCTTACACAATTTGTTAATCTTATACACTAATAATTATGGTCCCTTGAGGCCTGTAGCCTCTATACACCAATGCCCAACCAAACCAACTGCAACCGACCTGACTGCCCGACTACAACCAAATTGGAATGTATGTCATTACATAGAGCTGTTACATCATGTGGTAGTTAGTGTTAAAAGATGTTACTAGCTGGCTCTTTAATATATTTTAATTGATAATTCAATAATTTATGAAGCTGTAAGCTGCATTTTGTTTTTTCAGATCCTTGGCAACTTCATGACAGCATTTCAAGTATTTCCATGCTATATCCCGGGGCTCAGGAGCATGTTTGGGCTCCGAAATTGTTATTATATTACTTAAAATTATATAATATTTTTTGGGAAAATGAAATCGGGAGCAGTGGCGTGCATTAGGAGAGACCTATGCCCAGCAGTGGACGAGTATGGGTTGATGATGATATAATATTTAGCACTACTACAAGATATAACAATGCCATCTTACGCCACAGATCTTTCTTTAAAGACCTAATCAAGTTGGGAGATTTATAGAGGCTACTAATCATAATCTTTATTCAGTTTAGGCTGTTAAAAGCACTCATAAATGTCTAGAAGCTACTCCACTGGTTCGGAAATCTATGGTAAGAGACCTTGTACTGCAAAGTTTTATTATTTACAGAGTCGTCAAGTCGAACAATGACTTCAGAGATGATTCATGAAGTCAACTTTCATTCCATAATGAATAACTATAAATTAATTGTTTACCTGCATTTTGTTTGCTGTGTCATATATGAATTAAAAGCCAACCTATGAAAATGTAACTTTTTGAGGTGTGGCTATGGCAATGATCTATTTAGTATAGTTATATAGGATTAATACCTCTTGGTGGATTATTTTTAATTTTATACTCTGTCAACTAGTATGAGGTACTGAAAAATCCATTCAAGACTGAACTTGTTTTATTATAATAATTTATAGAAGTCACTTCCAGGTTTTGCTTATAACGCACCAGCTTGAAACTTGCCACGGCTCAGCTTTCCATTATATGTAATTGAGTTGCAAGCTGAAATTTTTGTCACGCAAAGTATTAACTATCAAAAACTCGTACACGAAATCTTTTTAGGCGGAAACGAATAAAACTCGAGAAAAGAATTATTGAAAATTAATGTTTTTGTAGGTTATGAGTCAATTTTGACAGAAATTTTGATCAGTGCTGCCATTTTTTTATGCAAAAATAACATGTTTCTCGTTGTCTATGGTAAACATAAGTTTATTAAGTTGGTACTATTGTCAAAATGTGACAATTTACCGCCATTAATGAGATCTGTCAGTCAGTGTCTGTGTTCGTCGCAATTGAGAGCTTTTTCGTACTCCTGTTGATATTAATATCGTCTGACTACCATGGCATCCTCAAAGCCTTCGGCCTCGAGTTCTGCTGTCCCCTCGCCTGAAGAGTCGAGTGTAGTGCGAGTTTTGGACTCTAATGAGCCGCTTGTGTGGTGATACTTCACACTAGGTTAGGTTAGGTTAGTGTTGTGACCTTAACGCGCGAGCCGAGCGAGCGAAGCGAGCGTGCCGCGGCAGCGGCCGGCGAAGCGGCAGAAACATAAATTCGTTAATAGAGACTTTTTCTACAAAAAAATCTAGGCCCTGGAAGTAATTATCATTTCTGTAAAAAAAACGTCGGGAGGGGGGGGGGGTTACCCTTCCCTCTGAGGAGTCTTCCCTTATACCTATCCCTCTGAAATTCCACCACATTTAACAGATTTAATGAATTTTTAGGTTAGGTAAAAAAAAATAAAAACTGCATTTCCGCCCTCCAAATTACCCCGAAATTCGATTACATATAATGGAATTAAGTACCCTTGCCACCAGGTGAAGCATCTACTTGCCTGAGGCATTCTAAAGCGATGCTTACTTGGTAAGCTTTACTTGAGATATTTATTGATGAGATATTTTACTTAGCAATGTTTATTTAGACATTGTATTAATTTTACTAATATAATAATTCTATTAATATTAAAATAGTGCAAGTGTTTGTGTTGTTACTTTGCCATCCTAACTTGTGAATAATTCAATCCAGATCAATCAATTGGTATTATTTATGAAAATGTCATATATTTCAGCTGAATAATTAACAAATTAAGTATTTATTACTGATATCCTAGACCTTGATATTCATTCACACATGATGATAACGATGTGGATTCGGGCATGATTCTTTATACCAAAACATAATTTTGACAACAGTGTAACCTTGTCATTCTCAATACAGAGTGAAAAAAAAGGTGAGACTGGTAATAAATGCTAGGATAAAACTTTAGTAAATATTGTTGTAATAATAGAAAAATATAACAGCTGCATGTTTATCTAAATAAATTGATAAAAAAGTTATTACCATTTCAATTGTAGAGATACAGTGTTATTATAGTCACAAGTTGCAAGATCTATTAATTTTCAACACTAAGCTTATCATCTTGTTGGCTATGCAAGGTAAACAAACAAAGAACTGTTTCTACAGTATAGTAATAACATTTTTTGCAAAATGTGGTGTTTATGTAACTGAATGTTTCATAATTTATGTTCCTAAGACTGACCATTCATTTCATATTTATACAATCAAATATTGAAAAAAAACATTAACAACAATTAATAGTTTCTAGTATTTTAATGAGCTGCAATTACTACAGCTCCAAGAAACATCAATTATTGGGCAACAATTGGATGTTAGTAACAGAAATTCAAGTCTTTAGTAAAAAACTGCAATGAATTTTAATTTTTCAAATAAATAACATGCTTTCCATTCATAACATTATGTGTATTTAGAGGAAAGTTAACTGTAATTGTATTTATTCATGAGCATTGTGATGAAGTAACTATTGATCTTCAACAAGGCAAAATTATCGATTGGATTGCATTAAAATTGGCGTCCAAAAGTTCATAACAATGGACTTTAACAAATGCTAAATAATTGCTAACAGAGTTATACTGCAATAATGTAATATTAGGAAACCAGGCTTTGAAGGTTAGGCGAGCATGCATTGAACAACGAAACGCATGTGTAGGGAATGACGCAGCCTCGTTGGCATTTCTATCGAAACGTGTCGCCAAAACTACAGCATTGATAAAACTTCAACATCCAAATTAAATCACTTTATCTATTACAAAGCACTAAAAACTTACCCTCGCGCCATTTCGAGGCTTTTGATGAGTTTCTTGATCTTCCAAATTTCGACATTTCGATCTGCTGACGACTCCTCAGACATTTTGTTTGGATTTAATTAGAACTAATTCACCACAAAAACACGTAAGATAATTTCAAATAAGTCTCTATTACACACAAATAAACTTCTAAATAAAGGAATATGCGGGGAAAGGGCCCAACTCGCGATTCAAACTGCTAAAAACCAGATTGAACCGGACGAACCGTACACCTCGCGACTTCAGTTCACACTTTCTAATTCACATTTATCGCCTTTATTGCTCGGACTTTTCTTCTGGTGCGGGGATTCTTGGATTTTTTCTTATTTCGGTTACCCCTAAGCATGTGTGATGCAAAATTCAGACATTACACGGATAAAAAGGTGACGTGACTAAACGATCGAACGAACGCCTCGTTCGTCGAAAAGGAAAATGAAATGAAGGAAAGAAAAAAAAGTTGCAGATCAGACAAAGTTGCCAGGTTTCTTTTTTTGTTTATGGCAATTATCAATCTTAAGGCCGGCAATAAACAGGCCGTTTTGATACATTCCAATAAAGCAATGGAAGACTTTGAATCCATTGCTAACAAAAAAAAGTATTTTCTCTGTTTGTTGGCAACACCTCTCATATCTGTCACATTGACTGACATTGACATTGACAAATTAAGTTTTGAGGTTAGAATTTCGCAATAACTCACGAGATGTTATGTAGGAAACTAATAGGACAAGCGTTAATAGGAAAATCGACACTGAAAACCAATGCACACCTCAACAGCTTGATAAATTCCAGACACTTCTCAAGGAGATGCATTTTATTAGACAGCCTGCTGGCTGCGGTTGTGAAGCCTGAAAGAAGTTTTAGCATGTCTTCTTTTCGCCTCGTCTTTAAAGATTTGAATGTTCGAAGGCTTTGGAGCGCTTGGTCACGTAGTTTTTTAGCCAATACAGTGATTAAGAGGTTCAAGCGTGACCGTAGTGTTAGAGAAGTCATACAGTGTTTCAGACAAGCCGTACTCCGTCCTAGAAGAACATTACTTTTATCTACTGCTGCTTTCAAATTTAATGAAGAAGAAGATTCTTCACAGCCACCTAGTTGTGGCCAGAGTATCACAGACAATGAGTTGGAGGTAGGTGCATGACCTGTGTAAATGGTTCTGTCATATATAAATAAATGTTATGCGATAGGATAGTCAAATACAAATACTTGCAATTAGTAAAGAAGTTCATTACTAAACAAGTATTTTAGTGTAGGAGAAAAAATATTAGCTATTTGTAGTGTAGTACTGTTCTATTTTGGATAGCTTTTCATCAAAAAATATGTCTTAATATTGGTTTGTAGAAGGAAATTTTATATAATTGACCCATGGTCTCCGTGATTCTGTTACAAAGTAGTGCCTGAGCATTGGGGCCATTATGATAAATACTTAAAGAAAAGTTTTAATGCTCTTTGAGTTTTTATCAACTTTATGATGGAGTTGTGTTTATATAATTTGCACTTGAATTTATGATTTTAGGACGACATATTTCTTGTCAAATATTTAATTTAGATATAATGTAGCAGTTACATGCTTATAGAAATAAAATAGGAAAATATTAATAATTAATTAAAACAATAAATATTTACATATTTTCAAGTAAATATAGATAATGATTAAGAATAATAACCTATTGTCCAAGAAGGATAAACACATCCAGTTTCAATGTCATCGCTGGATAAACTATAGATTTCTATTACAGGTTTCTGAACAAATTGACCAAACACCTGTTTGGCCATCACTTCTGATATTGGCAGAATTGTCGACATTGGCATTGACACAATTGCCATTAAAAAGAATAGAATAGAATAGATTAAGAATAATTCAAAATAAGTATTTTGAAATGAAAATGTAGTTTTAACAAAGAACATATTGAAGTGGTCATTGACTTGCCTTTGGAATTATGTCTTGCCAGGAGTAGGTGACAATTGTGATAAACAAGGTCATTTCTGAAGGACATCTGACTGAGATACTGCAATTCATACTAGATCTATTTTAAGAATACTTTATAATAAATTATAAGTAAATATTTAATTTCAATATGAAATAAGCACAAGGGCACCCTTGTACAGATTTCTTGTTCCTGTTGTTATCTGTTTTATTGTGTGTGTACTAAATTAGTAAATAAATAAATAATCATTAGTTAGATAAAACAATTACATTTTTGAAGTTTGAGCTGGATAAATAAATATTTTAAATAATTTAATATATTTATTATTAATAATAGCAAAGTAGAAACATTTATTACTATTTAATTTAATCCAGTAACATTATATTTTTTTTAGTTTATTCACTTGTCTTAACTTAAAATTGTGAAAAAATACCTTTGATATTTTATTAGACAAAATGGTATTACAATAACATTGTCAATAAACAAATCGATTCTGAAAACCCTTGACCTTCATAAGTGCTTGTAACAGCCTAGACTGAATAAATGAGTTTGTGTTTAACTATATTTTTTTTTATTAATGATTAATTATTCTTGTATAATTCTAGGCTCTGGTGACTGAGTTAGAATCAGTAGAGGAGCTATTTCAATCTACCCTGTTCTGTATCGGCTGTGGAAGGAGGATTATAATAGACAAGAAACTAACTGGAGTGCGGTATTGTGCGTTAGTATAATCTGCCAATTTACATTACTAATGCACTTTCATCATCATCATCAGCCTAATAATGTCCCCTGTACTGGGTGCAAGCTTTCCCTATGCAGGAACTAGGGAGATTGGGCCATGACCCACCAAGCTGGCCCAGTGTGAATTGGTGGGACTACAGATGCAGCCGCGACCATTGGCTTAAAATGCCTCCCGAAGCACGAAGGAGCATTACACAGTAAATTTTCGGTCACCCATCCAATGACCAACCAAGTTGCATAACTTTAATGATCGCAGCCGAATGCGCTTACCATTAGCGCCATCGAGCTTTTATAATGCATTTTAATGAATTCTAACTAGTTAAAAATTAAATCCAGATTTTTGGTTTGACTGATAAAACTAAGCTGGGCGGTCATAAAAGGCGTGGCCTATTATGACCGCCCAGCTTAGTTTTATTTTTGTGTTATTTTATTTATTTAAAAAATAATAATCAAATGGGGTATGTATAACACAGTATTAAAAATGAAGTGCCAATTGTTGGCATCTGTATTTCGAATGAATATTGGCAGTGATTTTTACTATTTTTACAGAAAAATATTGCTAATTTCACAAAAAACCAACGAAAAGTATTGTTTTTTATCTATTGCCAAGTGACCGAAAACACCTGGGATTGGTGAAGCCTAAAATGACGTCACAAATTGGTGAACTTTCGACATTAGTTGTACCGTTTGACGCTGAAATGGCAGCCGCGTGACGTCAATATCTGAAAGCAGTATTTTTGATTTCGTATTTTTACTGAAATACTTCGACAACAGGATGATAAATAACCACTTTTTATTGAGAGACAAACTTCTTAGCAATCCATGGATTCACCGTGCGAGTACCGGGTCCATCTTGTGGGAGAGAGCGATACTCTGAGCAGTTCCCGGGTATTGCGACCCAGGTCTAGGTTTTAAGGAGGCTCCCTTTGAGATGCACATCAACGCTCAACCTCGCTGCTGGAGTAGCCCGCCCTTCTTAGACAATTTTGATAGGAGCCTGTTAGTGCAGCCTTAGTTACTCGTTCCAAAATTGAACTTACTGCAGTTCTCCACAGGCCAAGGTCTTTTAGAAGGTTATAGAGAGATTTTGCTGGTGTACCTCTCGCTCATACTTCTACCGTATATATATATATATATATAAACAATACGGTATTTGACAAGTTTTAGAAAACGATTTCACGTTATTGACTAATGTTTATAGAGTCCGTAAAAAGTGGATATTCATCATTCTGTTGTGTATTTCAGTAAAAATAACCAAATCAAAAACTCAATATGGCGTCTCACTGGTGTGTGACGTCACACGCTGTTATTTAAACGTCAAGGGATACAAAGTAATGTTACTTTAACCGGAAGTTTACTTGTGTGTGACGTAATTTTAGGCTCCGCCAATCCCAAGCGTTTTGGGTCACGTGACACTAGATAAGAAAACTATTATCTTTTTCGTGGGTTTTTAGTAAAATTATGAATATTTTTTCTGTAAAAATAGTGAAAATCCCTGCCAATATTCATTCTAAACACAGATGCTAACAATTGGCACTATATTTTTAATACTGTCAAATACCCTATTATTAATTTACTTAAGATTATTTTTAGAAAGTTGCCAAAACCCTATATTCAACGGTCCGCGCGTGGCTGTGAACCAAGAAGTGCTTGAGTAGAGTTCAAGCACTTCTTAATTGTAACACATTTTGAACGCACATGGTGTATCAAGGAATAGTTTTATAGTGCAGCTAGTGCATACAATTCCTTTATTTCGCTTCTTGATTACTTCTAGGAGTTTATAATGGAAATGAACTTCCATTTCAGTTGTAAAGAAGCGCAGCTGCCCGATGAGTCGTATGATGGCTGGCTACCTTATATGGAAGCGGAGGACGTTATAATATGGCGAAAGGAATACAAGCCCGGGCAAGGACTTTACGCATACAAAGGTTAGTGTTATCCTTTTTGGTAGCATACAAGCCTTAAGAATTTTTTAAAATAAAAAAGTATGCAAACAATGATATTTAAATACAACAGCAACATCAACAAATCGTGGCCGAGACCTGACCAAAAGGTACATTGGAAGATCCACGGAGCTCCGTAAGATGGTCGCGTAGTTAAAAACAATAGGCGGTTGTAGCTCTGAGCCATCAGATCTTTTTGTTACATACATGTTTCTTTTGTCAAAAGAACATAGTGGTCATAGAAGTGTAATACTATTTTTTTAACAGAACTAACAAAGTAACGAATTTTGGCAAATAGGCGACCATAAGAACCTAGATAGAAAACGATAGATATAGAAAATGAAGTGAAATTGACAACTTTCTAGAAAGAGACAACAGCCAATACGAACTATGACCGCCCTATAGCTTCGTCTCCCTCACATTTACCGTAGTTTTATTTTACAGTTGAACGTACCCTGTTCTTTACACAGGTAAAGATCGTTATTATAGATTACATCCAATCACCGTATTATCATTTGACGACCTCCCGTGACCGAGTGGGCCGGGTTCCAAGGTGTAGCCTAATTGGAGGTCCCGGGTTCGAAACCCGGTGTATGATGTTAGTATGATAAATATTTGTACCTTAGTCATGGACGTTTATATATATATATATGTATATATATATATATATTTCTAGATTATATATATATGTACCAGTATATATATTCTATCCGTTACCCTAGTGTCTTATAACACAAGCCTACAGTGCTTACTTTGGGGCTAGGCTAATTGGTGTGAGTGTTGGAAATACTTATTTATTATTGTATGGTGTTTATTATTGTATGGTGATTGCTCCAGTGTACGGGCGGTACAGCGAAGTTCTGGCGTCTGACTTCGCCGCCGTACAAGTGGACGGCGCGTACCGCAGAGTGTGGGACGCAGCTGTGGCCACTCTGAGCGTGGTGGAGAGACATGCTCAGGGCATTGTGGACCAGGCGGTGCTGCACTGGGAGGTGCTGTGGCCGGTGAGTTAATATAAATAGTGTTATGTGTCTGTTATCGCTGCCGTACAAGTTGACGGCGCGTACCCCAGAGTGTGGGACGCAGCTGTGGCCACTCTGAGCGTGGTGGAGAGACATGCTCAGGGCATGTTGGACCAGGCGGTGCTGCACTGGGAGGTGCTGTGGCCGGTGAGTTAATATAAATAGTGTTATATGTCTGTTATCGCTGCCGTACAAGTTGACGGCGCGTACCCCAGAGTGTGGGACGCAGCTGTGGCCACTCTGAGCGTGGTGAAGAGACATGCCCAGGGCATTGTGGACCAGGCGGTGCTGCACTGGGAGGTGCTGTGGCCGGTGAGTTAATATAAATAGTGTTATGTGTCTGTTATCGCTGCCGTACAAGTTGACGGCGCGTACCCCAGAGTGTAGGACGCAGCTGTGGCCACTCTGAGCGTGGTGGAAAGACATGTCCAGGGTATTGTGGACCAGGCGGTGCTGCACTGGGAGGTGCTGTGGCCGGTGAGTTAATATAAATAGTGTTATGTGTCTGTTATCTTGACCAAGCAACTATTTTGATATAACTCAATATAAATTGTGACATTTCAATTTCATTTCTGTTAATTATTTGTACTTAATAATGATGTTTAGGTAGTTACGCGAATTTTAATTTATAAAAATCATGCAAAATTTTACATTAAGATGATGTCAATAAACTTTATTGAATAAAGGGACGTGGAATATTTTCTTCATGCTACATAAGTAATTAATAATCACATTTTTTTATTGGTTGGTCTGCGCTAAAAATGCGTGTTGTTGTTTGCGATATCTGATTTAAGTACATTTTGTATTAGGTTTGTTTCGTTAGAAGTTACACATTGACACTGCTGCGATAATAACGACGCAATAAAAATATGATGAAATATTTCAATGACGCATTGGATATTATCGAGCGATAATTACGTGGGCGGAGCTCTATTCTCAGAATATTCATAGAGCAAAATCAAAGATTTCTGTTCTCCTTGCATCCCTTATTTCATGATGAATTTAATAAAATGTGAATTATTCTCATTAGATACAGTTTTAAAGTAAAAAACTAAATGACGGATAATTTCTCTATAGAAGACATATTTGTAGTGTAGATTTATGTTGTATCGTTTTCCCTCAGAGATTGTTCGCGAACCGCGACTATGTTTACATTCGTCGACATAAAGACTTCGAAGCACGAAGCCCCGCCCCTAAATGGACTTCCAACAGGGCGGGGCTATTCGAGGCCCCGCCCCCCGCGACTCCCGTCCTCCAATCAGATGAGCGGCCCAACGTACACTCGCACGCGAAAAGGAAAGCGATGGAGAAAGAACTGAGAGAGAAGGACAGAGAAAGAGTGTACGAGAATAAGGTAAGTGATGTTAAACCTAATTAAAAATTTTGCTTTTTTCATAGCAATGTTTTCAAAAGTTTTTTTTTATTGCGAGGTGGGGGGGGGGGGATAAGTAGGTATATTATAACTATGGGAACTATCATTAATGTTCCCACTGCTGGGGCACAGGCCTTTCTTATGAATGAAATAGGGAGATTGGGCCATGACCCACCGCGCGGGCCCAGTGCGTATTGGCGGGTGCTAACGACTGCAGATGCAGCCGGGACCAACGGCTTAACCTGCCTTCCAAAACATGCAGGAGCTCGAGATAGTAAATTTTTGGTCACCCATCCAATGACAGACCACTGCGAAATTTGCTTAGCTTCAACGATCGCAGTTGAACACGCTAACCATTTGCGTCATTGAGCTCGTCTGGGAATGGCACCACCTTTGGCATTAATTATTTATTTATTGTTGCAAGTGTGATTGTGTGAACACTTTTTCTTAAATAATAGAACACTCGTCTTATACCCATGCCTGATGGTAAAATTAGCTTTAAATTTCTAAATCTAGCGGTTCAATTTTTTAAATAACATTAAAGTAAGTAATTTAGGGTATTTTCGAAATTTTGAAAAACTGCTTATATTTAAAGATTGCGACAAACGATTTCACAGACAAATAAAAATAAATAAATTAATGTCTTTTTTCTTCATTAAACCAATTAAAGTTAAGTTTATTTTTAATGGTTTTGAATTTACCGCCAAACGCTCGGTTTTGGCGGTAATGGTTTTGACGGTACTCGGATTCAAGTCCCGTCTGTTGCCTAGTCCGCGTGGATTTTTTTCTTGAGATTTAAACAATGCTTAAATAATAAAAAAAAATATGAGTTTTAAGAACAAGCTTGCCGTTCCATGTTTCAGACTCCAAAAATCAAGAGGTTAATTTCTGGGTTGTAGTATTGCATTGTTTAATAAATTTCCCCTAGATCTGATTGAGCTTCCACTGACTAAATTTAAATCTCAGATCAAAAATACTCCTATGAATAAGGGCTATTATAAAGTTGATGATTATGCATGGACATAGTGTTTCTTGTAATTTGTTATTTAATGGGTATTAGTCATTTTTCATAACAGTAATATTGTACCTATCTAATGCCGCTTCCTATATACTAAATATAATGTTAAATATAAATTGTAACTATATATTTATATTCTAAATGATGTAATGGAAGGTGACTTCAGAGGTATCTCTGAAGTCATTTTTCTACTTGACGACTCTCTAAATAACAATACAGGGAGAAAAAAAAACAGCCCTTGCTGAGTTTCTTGCCGGTTCTTCTCAGTACAAGGTCACCCGCCGTAGTTTTGCGAAGCGATGGCGTGGCTTCTTGACCTTCACAAGTGCTTGTAACAGCCTAGACTGAATAAATGACTTTTCATTTCATTTCATAAATGGTATGTTTTTTTTTTGCAGATATTCGTAATAATGTCCAGGTCCTGCGAACACCCAGACGTGCCCGAATCGAAGAGCGCCATCCGCGTCTCTGAGTATTGGAGTCATATGGTTGTCAAGAGTCTTTACGGAGTTGATAAGGTAATAGCCTATTGCACAGTATAAAAAATAAAGTATCAATCGTTGGCATCTGTATTTAATACTAGCGGCCGCCCGCGACTTCGTACGCGTTGAGTTAGTTATATATAAAGGTTCGCTGCTCGTTCCCCGTAGGTGATAGCGTGATAGTATGTAGCCTATATGTTGACCCGACTTCTTAATAATGTTCGTGCCAAATTTGAAGTAAATCTCCATGCAGTACTTTTTGAGTTTATCCCGGACATACATACAGACAGACAAAAATTCTAAAAACTGTTGTATTGTTATTGCAAATACATATTGGGGGCAGCCGATATATGTAATTAAAACGGTTGAAAAGGGGCTGCAACGAGATAACGATTAATATACAACTACGAATGGGTTTGCTAAAAGCGTAACGTACTCACGTTTGAAACCTTTGTCGCAAGCTTGTGGTCCGCGTATTCTTCTAGCTAGAAGGGCACATTAACAGCACACACAGTCACATAAGAAATTCACAGTTTATTGTTGACGAATTCCACTTGTTTGGTATACCGCACGTAAATATAATAGTTATACGATGTTAGCGAGTGCGCGGGCGCGGAACGGAGTGACGTAGGTCCTCTCGCGTGATCAGTGGCTGTCTGCGTTAGGCTAATAAAAAACCACATTCGCAGATGCATCGTTCTCGTTGCGAACCTACCCACATTTAAAATAATAAATATGTAACCACGATTAAGTGATAACGGAACAACTGTATTTTTGGCTTCAGTATCGATTGTAGATCACACCCCAAGTGTTCTGTTAAAAAAATATTCAATGTAAAGTTTTGACTTTCCTATCATTTTATTATATGTATAGATGCATATTAGCAGCTATTTTACTATTGCAGAGAGAGCAAATAATTAATATTATTTCTCAAAAATCATTAAAAAAAGTGCCTTTTTTGGTTTATGGTCACGTGACGGAAAATGCCTGGGATTGGCGAAGAAAGTGACATTACAACGTATTTTTGCACAACATTACATTATAAAACGGATTGAACAAAGTTTAGGAACGTCGTCCTACTGTTTAAGCATTAAAAAATGAAAGATTAAAGTTAAAAACAACGATAAATCGTACCAAATGTAGTAAGAGCCGACTCATCTCCGCTTGCAGCACCCGTTCACGAGCATGACGCATGACCCAGACACCGCTTCGCTCATTAATTTTATCGATTTATTCCATGCGTTCTCTTCTAGATTTTACCTATTTCAAGATTCATTTTTGTACAACCGCTTGAAATTAAAACTAAATATTTATCCGCTGAATAATAAAACCACCAAAGAAATCCTACAAAAATCCTTCAAATGTTGCCTTATGAAGATACAGAGAACTTGATGACCTTCTTAAAATAAAATGTGATTAAATTTCCATAGAGTTTGAGCGGAAAGAGAATGGGTGTGGCGAAAAACGGAACTAACATTAAGATTTTCATTTGGCAATCGAACCCAGCAATCTGTAAAACGTCAAAGTTTTGTATTGATACGGATTTGTTTGTTGTTGTGATTTCTTGTGGTTTTTTGTATTTAATCATGTCTAAAAGGGGTAAACCTAACAAATACGTAGAAAAGCACTACAGCGCCCTCCAATCTAAATCCCATTCTCTTTCCGCACAGACTCTATCATATTTATTAAAACGTTTAAATTAAATTAAGTATATTTTGTTTTTTGTTATTGCCTTTTGATTGTACTATTGATTATTTAATGTAGATTTATATTAAGATCTCTTTGCCTGAAACACAGGACAATCCTAGTTCAGGCTGCGTAGATTTTTTCTCCTTTTGTATTTCTTAGATTTAAGTCATTTACATGTAATAATTGATATTGAATAAAGATTTATTATTATTATTATTCCCTTCTAGCCGGGTATGGAGTTCGTACTGACCTACTACGACGAGCCGGCCGTAGGGGGCTTACCCAGTGGGGTAGCTGCGTGGGCCACGGGCAGAGCCGCACCCGCTTATCTAGACAGGATGAGGCGAGCCGCGATGGAATATGCTAAATGGCGAGATGTGCAGAAGAATCAGGTCTGAGCTATTTGTTTCTTAGATTTACACGCACATCACTCATTTAATAAAACAAGTTTTAAAGGGTAACATTCACTAATTTTATTTATTTATTGACGTTTCGCAACCTTTTCAGGAATCGTCAGAATAATGATTTTTTATTTACTTTGTCGAGTTATCTTCGAAAGATTTGTATTTAGCGTTCGGATATTACATTAGAAGATTGTTTAAAACTTTATTGTCTATGCATGAATTTCCACTTTATTGTCTTCCAATGAAATATCCAAACGCTAAATAGAAATCTTTCGAAGGTAGCTACAGTAGACAAAGTAAATAAAAAAAAATGGATGCGTGTAACTTATGTACGCGCGTGAGAAGTTATACTTCTTTAGCATCATTAAAAATATTTTTTAATTGCATGCAAATGATTAATAATTACAATAAAAAAGGATAGGAAGGAAAAGGATAGTTAACACAGTCAATTAAGTTCAGTTTTAATTTGAAAAATTAAATAAATATTCAAAATATTCAATTAAAATCACTACTGAATTTCAGTTATTAGTCCATATGTAATTAGCACTTGTAAGTAACTAAAACACGTTGTGTCTATATAGAAACTAGAAACATGTGGATAAATATTATAAATATGAAAACAGTGATCAGAGCTGACGAGCGTGCCAACATTGTTTTTATTAACCACTAAGTGGTTAATAATCCACCATTATTAGACACTAACATTCATAACGCGCCCGCGGCCTACTTCATGGTGTTACTATTGTGTAACAGTGATGCGCGCGCATCTCGAAATTTCACTCACATGTTTTTTTCATAACGCGCCTAAAGAAGTATAACTTCAAAAATCATTATTCTGACGACACATTCCTGAAAAGGCTGCGAAACGTCAATAAATAAATAAAATCAGTGCATCTTACTCGTTAACTTGTTTTATTTAAGGTATGAGCTAGTAATAAGACTGTGCTTTAAACTAGACACATTGTTAACGAAGAGATGTTTAGCTTTTTTATGAATAAAATGAAATGGTCCTTCGAGCCGGATTTCAACAATCAGGTACGATATATTACAGTGTTATGGTATAAGGAGACTGCTATAAACTAGATATTTTACTAGGGGCAGAGCTTATTTAGACAGGTTGAGGCGAGCCGCGATGGAATACGCTAAATGGAGAGATGTGCAGAAGAATCAGGTATGGACTAGTATATAAGACTGTGCTATAAACTAGACACGATGTCAATGACGAAGTGTTTAGTTTTTTTTCGCGAATAAAATGAAATGGTCCTTCGAGCCGGATTTGAATAATGAGATCTATTACAGTGTTATGGTATAAAGAGACTGCAATAAACTAGATCTTTTACTAGAGGCAGAGCTTATTTCGACAGGATGAGGCGAGCCGTGATGGAATACGCTAAATGGAAAGATGTGCAGAAGAATCAGGTATGGGCTAGTATATAAGACTGGTCTAAACTAGACACAGTTTTAATGACGAGGTGTTTAGCTTTTTCATAAATAAAATAAAATGATCCTTCGAGCTGGATTTGAACAATCGGTTACGATCTTCTACAGTGTTATGGTATAAAGAGACTGCTATAAACTAGATATTTTACTAGGGGCAGAGCTTATTTCGACAGGATGAGGCGAGCCGCGATGGAATACGCTAAATGGAGAGATGTGCAGAAGAATCAGGTATGGACTAGTATATAAGACTGTGCTATAAACTAGACACGATGTCAATGACGAAGTGTTTAGTTTTTTTTCGCGAATAAAATGAAATGGTCCTTCGAGCCGGATTTGAATAATGAGATCTATTACAGTGTTATGGTATAAAGAGACTGCAATAAACTAGATCTTTTACTAGGGGCAGAGCTTATTTCGACAGGATGAGGCGAGCCGTGATGGAATACGCTAAATGGAAAGATGTGCAGAAGAATCAGGTATGGGCTAGTATATAAGACTGTGGTCTTAACTAGACAGTTTTAACGATGAGGTGTTCAGCTTTATCATAAATAAAATAAAATGATCCTTCGAGCTGGATTTGAACAATCGTTTACGATCTTTTACAGTGTCAGGGTATAAGGAGAAGACTGCTATAAACTAGATATTTTACTAGGTACAGAGCTTATTTCGACAGGATGAGGCGAGCTGCGATGGAATATGCTAGATGGAGAGATGCGCAGGATCAGGCCAGCCATGTCCTTGTTTGACACCATTCTAACTTAAAAAAAAAGCCCGGATAGATCTAGAAACCAGTCTGATTGATATCTTGGCTGAGTTGAATTGTTAAAAGCTTTTATTTAACGTGCATTATAGGTTAGCATTAAATCTAGGAACAGAATTTTAAAGCATTTATCCTCAATCGATAAAGATGTTATTTTCTATTGAAATTCTCTTTAGATATGAAAATTTTCATTTTTTTTGTTTAACAGGATCTTCCCGATTTCATATCGTTCAGTCAACCCAAGGAGCGCCCTTGTTCCAATATCCAAGTCAGGGAACAGGATATGGAGGTAATTAAATTTTCGTGTCTTTTTTAAAGTTTGTTTTAGTTTTTGGTACTGTTATAGATGGTATATGTATACCCTTTAGAGTATCACGCACTCCCTTAGTATTGCACAGACTGCCCTCTCAACATTAGTAGACAACGAGTAGATTACTCGTAGCCGCCAGTCCCATCCATACGATCACCAGTTCTAATCCAACGAACTAATAAAAATCTTTCGATTGTAACGTACCTCAGGGACTTTGCTTTTTTTTGGTATTCATAGATTCCATTTCACGCATTTTGTCATATATCATCATGGTTATTTATCATATTTATACACTTCTCTTTCTTATCTTTCATTATTAATTCCTGGAAACGCACAATTTCAAAAATATCACGCATTATTCATCAATTTGTAAATACGTGGACACTTACCGGCATTTCTCCTCATTCTGTTATTTATTTATTTTCTTGACATTTGTGACAACTTAATGTTTTTATCCGTTGCCATGGTTACCCATGACAGGGATACTCTCTCCAACTACGCCTATGCCTATTCAACCTCCACAGACCACCTACATTGATTCTTTTTAGTTCGATTCGAATCTTGTCTAAATTTAAATGGTTCCGGACCTATAAAAGGCCAAGCCACCCTAATCTTACATTCATTTCTACGGCAAAAGTTGCCAACTCAACTTTTGATAGCTCGCTACCGACCTCTAAATTACTAAAAGGCCAAGGCCTTTTAGTCCCGGGGCCGGTTGCCCCGAAAGAATAAATAGCTATTATAGTTATAATTTTTATTTTTAAGCATGAACTTGTTGGATTTTTTAAATCTAAAGAAAATATTACTAGAAAAATTTCCACGCGGACCAGTAATACACTCCCGGACTCTTGAATCGAGCCACCTTACATTCCCGGGCCTAAAAGCCCAATACACAAAAAATATACAATATAACAAAAATGCATAAAAACTTTTTTGTTATATTGTATATTTTTTATTTTATTATATATATTTGTGGCGGCGACATCTATATGCCCCACATATATACAACGGATGGAGGAAATCATTACTCACCATCCTCAAGAGATGGCGTTACCTGCACTGCGATCTTAATAGTATGGAAGCCTACATCGCGCAAATGAAATTCGGAGGCTAATTCTTCATATATACGATGCCCGACTAATATCAGTCGGGCCGCGGCTCCCGAGCTACCATCACCCAGCTCGGAGGAAGATCTTCCCCTTTGACTTTCCTACATATTTTTTATTATCTTTCCCGTATGTATTATTCCAAATTTGAATTTTAGAATTTAAAATAAAGATCAAATGCCGAGCTTGGTCACTGATTTGAAAAAAATAATGACTGTTGAAAGTTGCTTTTGAAGCAATTTAATGTCGATTTGGTTTGAATTTTCGCAATTGCTGTAAACCAAAGTTTAGTTTAGTTATTTTTCTATAATTTGAACCGTTTTTGGCTATAAAATTATGGATACTTCACCTGAAGTAGCCGCGCAAGCTGTAGCACTTCTTCAATCTGGGCTAAGTCAGCGAGATGTGAGTTCACAACTTCACATAAGTCGTTCCGCTGTTCAAAGAGTGTACCACCGATACTGGCGGCTTCGTTCGGCGAACAGGAGGACCTCGTTACCGAGTGACAACGGCGAGACAAGATCAATACATTGTCACTACTAGCTTACGAAATCGACGCCTTAACTCTGTTCAGATACAAGAACAGCTCAGGGACTTTCACGGAGTGGCTGTAAGTGCTCGGACCGTTAGAAGGCGACTCAATGAACGTGGTTTAAAGCCCCATAAGCCAGCCCATGGACCCAAATTGACACGAGCACACCGAATAGCCCGTCTAGAGTTTGCGCGCGAACATCTAAATTGGCCTCGACATCAATGGAGTCAGGTTCTCTTCACAGATGAGTCCAAGGTAATGCTATACGGTAATGACGGAAGGAGTAAGGTGTACCGAAGACAGAACGAGCGTTTCGCATAATGCTGTATTGACGAGAAAGTAAGTTATGGTGGAGGATCATGGACAGTCTGGGGAGGAATCTCTATGGAAGGCAAAACTGAGCTAGAGGTAGTGACGGGACCACGACTGCCGCCCCTAGATGGCAATAGATACATTCGCCAATGTTTAGAGAACCACGTGATGCCATATGCTGGATTTATTGGACAAGATTTCGTTTTAATGCATGATAATGCAAGGGCCCATACTGCGGGAATCGTCAGGGAGTACTTAAATGACATTGGTATCACTGTTATGAGATGGTCAGCGCGAAGTCCTGATATGAATCCTATAGAACATCTATGAGATGAGCTGAAGAGGCGTGTTCGAGCTCATCATCCTGCCCCGCAAACCATGCAGGAGCTCAAAAATGTAATTTTGGAAAAATGGGAGGACGTTCCTCAACATGTCATAACGACATTGATTAATTCTATGCCAAACCGTATGAGAGCTGTCATAAATGCACTGGGAGGCAATACAAGTTACTTAATAAACATTTCTTTTCATGTAAAACGTGTCTTTATGTAAAAATCGATTAGATTTTTTTCCTTGAAAAAAGCAAATATGGACTTGTTTCAACGTAACTCGACTTTTTTAATAAACTGTAGTTCAAATTTAGAACAGTGGCACTCTAAATGAATGATGAGTATACCAGCTCCAAAACTGCATCAAAACATTTTCCTTCTACATACATCTTTTATAAGTTACAGTACTCCAAACCAAAAAAAATCAAGGTGGCTCGATTTAGGTGTCCGGGAGTGTATTTTCTTTAGATTAAAACATTGAGCAGTTACATGCTTAAAAAATAAAAAATATAACTATGATTGCTATTTCTTCTTTCAAATGTTTAATAATTGTAAAGGTATTCATTTGACATTGTGGGTTACTAACAATGCGAAGAAATGGTGCTGCCTTGCAGCTTAAGAAAGGCTAGAAAGAATTCGACACGGCCGTCAGGGCATTGGTAGCATAATTGCATTCATCGGGATAGCGAAGGGTGCGGGTTCAAGTCCCGTCTGCTGCCTGGCCCGCGTGGAATTTTTTCTAGTTTTTTTTTGGTTTACTTTACTTGTTTTTATCTACACAGTCATCGAAAGACGGCCCAGAACTGGAGAACGCAGAAGACAGAACACCTGAAACGAGCTCGCAGAACGAAGTGGAGAACAGCACGCCGCAGAAGGACGCTATACAGGTTTATATTTATGTATTTGCTAAAAGGTGCTTCTGAATTCGTTTGCGTGGAAAAAATTGGGTTCCTATACAAACGTTCATTCAATATTTAACTCCCATTTATTTTTGCTTGAAAATGTAACGTGTTGTCGCCTCTAAGTCCCATCTATGTATATACCAAAATTTTGTACCATCAATTCAAAGAAACTGACAAACATACACACTTTCACATTTATAATGGTACTAGCCTCCGTCCGCGACTTCGTCTGCGTTGACTTTCCTTTTTTTAAATCCTACAAGAATTTTTTTTTAGATCCTTACTTTTTCGGGAAAAGAACTATCCTATGTCCCAATCCAGTTAAAAAAAATCAACTTACATGAATTACGTTTAAGCGCACTTAGCGACATTTATTGTAAAAAAAAAATGCATTTTCTTCGCAATAAAGCTGCCACGTGGATGTCCTCGATAGAGACTAATACGGTAAAATAAAATATTACTATGCTTCGTCCAATATATTGAAAGTCAACAACCTTTCCAATTTTATTGCATCATGGTGCGATCAGCCCACGTGTCTAACCTGACGCGAGTTTAACATTTTTTACCCGTACAAAAAAAGTGTACAATGCCGCTAAAGAAGTTTTCACTTCAAACCGTCATCATCGTCTTCCAAGTATTATCACACTAAAGACGAAAGTTGGCGAGTGTATATGTTTGTTACTTCTTCACGTCTAAACGGCTGGAGCGATTTTAATAAGATTTATAGTGAAAGTAGTTTATGTTATGTGTTAGTATTATAGCATTGACTTTCAAATAACGTAGCGTTCTATTAGTAAAAGAACATTCAAAATAGGTTAAGTAAATCCAGAGACAAAACAGGGAATCATGTTATGAATGCTATATGGTGTAGTTAGAGTTATCTCCTGTCTTTCTCTGCAGAATGAACAATGTGTCGACAAAAAGGAGGAACCTGTTACGGAAGTTCACACAGCTACTGTGAAACAGGTAAATGTTTCATCAACATCGTAATGTCCCCACTGCTGGGGCACAGGCCTTCCATAAGGATGGAATAGGGAGAATGGGCCGTGACCCCCCACCACGCGGGCCCAGTGCGGATTAGTGGATGCTAACGACTGCAAATGCACCCGGCACCAACGGCTTTACATGCCTTTCTCAGTAATAATGTAACCATTTAAGAAATCCTAATTAATGGTATTTAATATGAATTTGGGGGGTCAATTTACGTTTCTGACACATTGAATGAATAAATAAATAAATATTTCCAACACTCACACCAATTAGCCTAGCCCCAAAGTAAGCATTGTAAGGCTTGTGTTATGGGATACTAGGGTAACGGATAGAACACACATACAGTACATATATAAGTATATTTATATAGAAATACATATTAAACATCCATGACAAGAGTACAAATGCTCGTATTCATCACACAAAAATCTGCACTCACCGAGATCCGAACCCTCTTGAATAGGCGACACCATGAAACCCGGCGTACAAACCACTCGGCCACGGATGTCGTCGAAATTATAATAGGGTATTTGACATGTTTTAGAAAACAATCTCACGTTATTTACTAATGTTTATGAAGTCCATTCAAAGTGGATATTTTTAATTCTGTTGCTTAATTCAGTAAAGAAAACTCAAATAAAAATTTAATTTTCAAATTGTCGTGAAAGCGTTTCTCTGGCTGGACATTACGGCGTGTCACTAGTGTGTGACGTCACACGACTGTCATTAAAACGTTAAACGATACAATGTAATGTCACTTTGGCTGTAAGTTTACTAGCGTGTGACGTCATTTTAGTCTTGGCCAATCACGGACGTTTTCGGTCACGTGATCATGGAGAAAAAAAATCGTTTCCATTTTATGATTCTATAGAAAAGTTATTATATATTTGTTCATTCTGAGTAGTAAAATCGCTGCTAATATTCATATTAAATACAGATGCCAACAATTGGCACATTATTATTCAATATTTTAAAATGAATAAGACAAATAGTATATTGTTACGTGTCGGGATGGGGTTCGAAATTATATGCCAGTTCACGCTTGACAGTTCTTTATTCACCACACAGTCCACACAATTAACACACAATGTTAATTACTAAACACTGTGTTTCACTATACAAGTCTCTAAACTATCGCACTTGAACACTTGTTGCACTTTGATCGCCTTTGGATTCGCTCCGAAATCGCTGTTGAAACTCAACTGTCTCTGCGCGGCGCCAATCGCGCTTTCTAGAAAGTACCTGTTAAATTGAGAATTAGCTAGCACCCGCTAGTACGAAGTACCTACTTATACCTACGCAGGTAATGCGTATAACTTGTAAACAAGTGCAGATGTCGTTGCACTTTCTCCATTACGCCGCACTGCATAAGGCTCATTTTGGAATGAGCCGCATTCTATCGCGACCCGCGGTGATCTTGCAAATTCGATCTCTAGCACTTTCGCGGTTACGTTTCGAGAGCTTTGTGACACTATTATTCATTTTAAAATTCTTTAAATAGAATATTATTTTTTGATTTTTTACGTGATACAAAACAGGATTGGCCGAGTCTGAAATGATATTACACATGAAATCTAGCAGTTACATTTTTTATATATATTGAGTAGCTCGAGTGGTAAGCGCGTTCGGCTGCGGTCGTTGAATTTGAGCAACTTTCGCAGTGGTCGGTCATTGGATGGGTGACCAAAAATTTACTATCTCGAGCTCCTCCGTGCTACGGAAGGCACGTTAAGCCGTTGGTCCCGTCTGTATCTGCAGTCGTTAGCACCCACCACCCAATCTCCCTAATCCATCCATAGGGAAGGCCTGTGCCCCAGCAGTGGGGACATTAATAGGCTGATGATGATGATGATATTTTTTATAAAAATATAATTAAATTCCCTACTTCGTATGTGCGAATGTGAGAACTGGTGAAGTGCAATGTAGCATCAAATGCGTATGAGACCGCATATTTGACGACCTCCGTAGCTGAGTGGTTTGTACGCCGGGTTTCAAGGTGTCTGCCTACTCGAGAGGTCTCGGGTTCGAATTCTAGTGGGGGCAGATGTTTGTGTGATGAATACGAGCATTTGTACTCCAGTCATGGATGTTTAATATGTATTTCTATAAAAATATACTTATTTAAGTATTCTATTCGTTACCTTAGTATCCCATAACACAAGACTACAGAGCTTATTTTAGGGCTAGGCCAATTGGTGTGTGTGTTGGATATATTTGTTTATTTATTATTTGTAAATAAAATTTAATTTTTAATGAAGAAACACAAGGGGAATTTCGATGCGGCCATCAGGGCCGCGGTAGTATAAAGGTCAGTGCATTCGCCCGGATAGCGAAGAATGCCTTGGCCCGCGTGGATTTTTTTCTTGTAAAATTTTCTTTAGACCCAACCTATATCAAATTTAATCTAAATTGGTTCAGTTGTTTAATCGTGAACATGTAACAGAAATATTAGTATGAATGTTAAGCATGACGAATACATTTGTCAAGCGATAACAATTTACCAATTCGTTTTTCATAGGAGACGAAATCGCCAGCACCGAAAGAGGGAGACAGCGATAAACAGGAAGAGGAGGACAGCAACACCGGATGCTGGTGGCGGTACCTATATCCGTTATATTACTTCAGTTGAAGTAGAAATATTGTTCAATTAACTTACTTTTATTAACAAATCATTCTACATATTACCTGAGACATCTATCCAAAGTTGTCCATTAGACTAAAATCACATAAAAATTGCGGATTTTACACAAACCATTCTACATATTACCTGAGGCATACTCTCTAAACTCTAAACTAAATCAAACCAGAAAACATTACGTTTTAATTGGTAGTTGAAATTAACAGACATAATTGTCTGATTTACTCAAAACCAGTTTTACAATTTGTCTGACACGCAAAGGACAACTTATGTGACTGAAAACATTTAATTTATAGTAACTCATTCTGTTCGCACTACAAAATAAAGCATATCGGCCGAAAATGTCGGGCGTTAAATTCTTATTTAGCGAGAAATCGGCTAATAAGTAAAAAACATGAAAAGTTTTTTTTATGGCAAATTAAAATATTTTTTGCATTTTACTTGCAATAATAAGTATCTACACGACGAGTGTAGAAAATGCATATTAAGAAAAATAGAATTTTGACAAAAATTTAAATTCAAACAATTGGATTACAATCAACAATCGATCCCTTAGCCGCCATTAATCAGATCTTTGTTTAGATTTTAATTCCTTCGACACGAAATTGTAAGTAATCCGTTTTAGGTTGACTATTTTCATTAATTTTGAACTGTTCTCAATTTAGATCATGCGGAAATTAAATATAAAGACGGTAATGCGAACTTTAGACCAAAGATTGCAACAAATTGAAGATTTGCCATAAAAATAAGTTTTCATGTTTTTTACTGATTAGCCGATTACTAGCCAATTAAGAATTTAACGCCCGACACTTTTGGCCGATATGATTTATTTCGTAGTGCGAACAGCATGAGCTACTTAACATTAAATGTCACATAAGTTGTCCTTTGCTGTTGAGACATACTATCTAAAGTTGTTCATTAAACTAAAGTCACATAAAAATGCGGATTTTACACAAACCATTCTTCATATTACCTGAGACATACTCTCTAAACTAAACCAAACCAGAAAACATTACGTTTTAATTGATAGTTGAAGTTATCAGACATAACTATCTGATTTATTCAAAACCAGTTTTACATAAAATAAGGAGTAAATGTGGCGACTATTCTAAAGAGTTAAACTTCAAATTATAATTAACTATTTGTAGTTTCGTCTTATTAAAATCTTATAATAATCCCTCTCTAAAAAAAACTTAAAATTGACAGACGTCTCTCAGTGCTTCCAACAATGTATAAATATACAAATTTATAACCACTCATTCAACCACGGATTAAGTTATATTGTAATTTCAACTGACTTTGAGTATTGTCGTCCTTGATATAGGATCTACAATCGATCGTCAATCAAATCTTTTTTTTGGGGCTCTTAATGTTAAGTTTGATGTTTATTTTTAATATGGAAGGCCTAATTTAATGAAATAATAATTAATAAAAAAATACTAATCATGTTAAGGTTTTAAAATTTAAAATAAACTTTTATACAATGAAATCATAAATTAACTCTGTTGTTTTCCCTATTATTAATATGAAATTATAAATTTCTATACTAAATAAAATAAAATTTATGATTTTTTTTTGATATCACAATAAAAAACCGAGCAAAAGTAAATAAATAGTTGGAAAAAATAACAAACAGTTATTATATGACATAATTCGTGCGATGTCGTATTTATGTTAGTTTGATGCATAAATTACTTTCTTCTCAATTGAATTGCAGAGTAGAGACCATACTGTTTAGAAAGGAAATATGCGCAATATCGGGAAAATCTTGCTTCTATTATAGAAATATAACCCGATAAAAAATAATAAAGGATTATAAAAAAAAATACAAATAATAAAAATATCATTTTAATCATGTAAAATTAAGTTGCATTTTTACATTAATGTGGTATCATTGATAGCTGGTTTATCGTTAAACTATCAAATATTGTAGAGTTTTTAATGTTTTTCCCCGCTCCCCACGACAACGACTAACTAGAGCCAAGGTCCAAGTCTCAGAGACGACCTCTAGTTGAGCCGACCCCCTCAAGTTCGAGTTGTCTAGAGGCTCCAGACGGAGAGGAGACTCTCCCCGTGGGGAGACGCCATCCGCCTGGAATACCTCTAGAGGCTCTCGCCACTTCTCGGCTTGAGGTCCCCTTAGGATCTCGCCGTTCCCATACCCGGTGACACTGTAAAGGTCATCTGCGCCCAACAACATACACATTCAAAAAAAAACGGCGGGTTGCACTCCGGGAGTGCCGGCAGAAGTGGAAACTTGAATATTAACGTTGTGCATTTTTGATATTTTGGAATGGTAAGGGAATAATTTTGCACGAATTGCTTTAATTATCAGTATAAAAGTACTATCATGTATGTATATGGTAGAATACAATATTCATTTATTGCGCTATCGTACACATGACAATTAAAAAAAGTTTATCTCTCAGAAAAATCAACTTACATGAATCACGTTTAAGCGCACTTAGCGACAATTATTGTAAAGAAATCAGCTTACATGAATCACATTTAAGCGCACCTAGCGACATCTATTGTAAAAAAAATGTAATTCGCAATAAAGCTGCCACGTGGACGTCCTAGATAGAGACTTATTATTATAATACGATAAAATAAAATATTACTATGTTTCGTCCAATATATTGAAAGTCAACAACCTTTCCAATTTTATTGTGTGTCATGATGCGATCAGCCCACGTGTTTAACCTGACGCGAGCTTAACATTTTTTACCCGTACAAAAAAAAGTGTACAATGCCGCTAAAGAAGTTTTCACTTCAAAAAATGTTTCTCCTGTTAAACAGTGACAAAAGTTGTGAATTTACAAAAACATTATGAAATACCTCAGCTTGGTTATGGTATTAGTTAGTTATATATATAAGTAGTAAATTTGCCAAGCAGGTTTATATACACAACGCTCAAAATTAAATCAAATATAGTAAAATAAAGGCCGTGTAACGTGTTTACAGCTATAAGTTAATAAAGTATATATAACATATATTTAATTTAAAAGCATGTTTTGAAGTTCCTAACAAATACAGCGATTAGGGGATTAAAAACCTGCGACGGTTAACAGTAATTTTCAGTAATTCTTTATATCTTATTTCCTAAACCTAAGTAGCACATATTATTAAGGCTATATTAAAAATCATATAATTGTTCCCCCCAATAACAAGAAGTGGTCGAAAAATGGTTTACAAATTTTAAGCTACATACATTTTACATACGAACAGTACAAGTTCTATAAAAACTCTGTCGCACTATCCGTAAATGGAATGCTCTGCCCGCTCACGTGTTCCCTCCCTCTTACAACCTGGGATCCTTTAAAAGAGACGTGGAGAAGCAACCTGCTGGCCGGCAAGGTGAGGATGGCTGGTGCGACAGGTAGAACTGCTTACCAGCTATCTTCGTGTCTGGACTTAACCTCAGGTGGGGTGGAGTCATTTGCCGGACCCTACTATATATAAAAAAAAAATAAAAAAAAAATGTAAAAATAGTATTACTTTTAAAGACCTACTGTTTCAATTGAAAAACAGCTCAATATGTATATAATAACAAATATTTAATAAAATATGTTAATCATGAAATGAGTCAAAATTATTTCAGGGAATTTAAATAACTAAGAGTAGAAGTAGGTAGTCATTTAAATTTAAAATAATTTTCAATTTATTGCGGTCTAGTTTTGAAATTCTCCACATATTATCTCAAGGGTTTAAAAATCCGGTAATGGTACAAAATACGATTGTTGCGTCATGAAAAATATTGATCATAGGTATTCTATCATCCTTGAATCCTATATGAAATAAACTATTTTTAATTATTTTAACGACCCTACGCTACGGCTCAGTTTACATAGCCACGGAACGGAAACGAAGTTTTGTGAGCAATAAATTCAACATATTTAACTACAAATATATTTATGTTAATTATTTAATGTACAATCCAATAAAAGATAGTGTGCTGCGGAAATTCTCGATAATGCAAGAGAGTTCACCGGAAAATGCAAGACGACTTTAAGCGTATTATTAACTTGAGACAAATTATTAATCTATATATTATTCTGTTTAATTTTGTCCCAAACGTTTGCTTTTGCTCCGTTTGAAGGCTATGTTATTTAAGCCTTATATAAATACTGATAGTTTAATACACATACAGTTGAAACGCAATCAAAGTCGTTAAGTTCATTTTCTTTCAAATCGCCTGTCATGTTTCAGTGGTTAAAGGTTGATGCACATATATCGACACGAAAATGGAAGTTTACTAAATTGATGAATATTTTTTATTATATTTTTATTTGAAGCATTAAACTACCACATATATAAAAAGAAAAACTAAAAAATCCTTCATCATTTTTTATGCTGATTTAACTACTCCGAAAGTTTTTTTTTTAGCTTATTTTCATAATTTTAAAGGAATGTAAAAAATTGACAATAGACTAGTTGCCTAAATTTTAAAAAGTGGTTAATCATATACGTTGATGTTTATTTTACCCCAAAAAATATTATTTTAAATAAAATAATACATTAACAATATGTATTTTGAATTTTAACAAAAATATTTATTTTTCCTTCTAAAACGCTCATGACTGTCATGGCGTCTTGAATGACGTCACGCCGTGCAAAAACAAACAGTATGCTGTACGTTGACTAATAGCATTATTTCATTAAAAATGAATCCATCGTATTTCAAGTACTGTATAGTGCCCCAGTGTAAAAGTACAAGCATAAAATGCCAGACAAATTATTTATATACCTTTTAAACAACTTACAAAAGCAGTAAAAATGGTTAGAACTTGCAAGGAGGGATGGTATTCATTGTTTATCAACAAATAAAATAATGTATTTTTGTGAAGATCTTTTTGATGTTGCACAAGCTGGATAAATTATATTGCACTAAATTGATAAAACAATGACAATAGGTTGAGGTTAGGTAAGTAAATTTAGTTTTATGGCATGATTTAAAGTCAATTTGAGAGTTAAGTATTATTCGTACTTATTACTCGTAATAAACACATTTCATATTCTTGTTCTAATTACCTAATAATATGCTAATTATACCAAGTATCATATTAAGGTTTGTTTTTTATTTTGGGTAAACTATTATTATTTGCTTTGGTAATTCCCGATGGCTATACATATTAGGCTTTCTTACAATAATTATCTAAGAACAAACTGATAAAGTGTATCAAAGTAACAATCACATGAATGACAAATCAATAAAATCTATGAAAACTCTAACCACAAGTAACGTTTTGCACGGAGTGACGTCAGTCTTTCTGATTGGTGTTTACTATCACGTGACCTTATGCCTATTATTACTGAATCTATTTCATAAAAAATAATAATAATCTTTAATTATTATGATAAATAGCTTTATTTTTCGTTATCTGTATATCGTAATTCATATTTAGAAACTGTTAGCCATCCGATTTATTGTTAGTGGACACAAGCCTATTGTCTATGGATCCGATGTGTGTGCGTCAACCTTTGTAGTTGTTTGCTGTTTTATAGTTGGGTGATGTATGTAGTAACTTTATAGTGATTTACGTTAATAACATAGGTGTTCATTGAGAAGAACATCGATATTTCGGTAAAAATTCAAGTGCCATGATTACAGATTAATTTTGTTTACCGTCATGATCACGGCGTTAAATTACTATAATGTTAATGAGCATGAATGATTAAAACAGTATATGTATAGGCAAACTTCTTGAACAAAACCACAGACAAGTTAACGTGCGCAGTAGACGTTTAATTGTATGTAAAATTGCTAATGCGCAGCCTATCTTGTCTATGGCCGATGCTCAAGAAATTTGCCGGGAACTATAGTAACTGTTTAATATGTAAGCGTCTCGTGTTAGATAGATGTAGGTAGATTTAAAATCCGTACAATATTAAATCAAGCACATATTTACATTTGCAGAAACGAGGAGGATCATATGTTTTCAACACTGTGAATGGAGAATTGGCTATGTTTAAATATTTTGAAATTTTAAAGCTCTGCAGTTCCTGATGACTGCGATGTGATAAGTCACAGTACAGCGGACTAAAAGAGCTATTGAAATTCACCACCAAAACAGATTATCTCTCTAAGTTTGTTAGTTTCTAAAATGTCCTGTCTTTGACCAAGAAAATACTGGACTTGAAAAATACTGAAAAGTCTTTGATTATATACACGTCTAGAAAGAGCAAATCAAATAAACCACGCAAAGGAAACTGCTCATGTTACGCGCAATGTGTGAGTGTGTAGCGACGAGAGTATCTACCATGTGTAGTAGATATTTTTTTCGACGCTTCCGTGCATTAAATACGACGGTATCTAGGCGTTTATATAATTTAAAGCGTGAAGCTAATACCTCTTATTGTGAAACTTTGACTAAAGTTAAATTTAGACAAGGATTTATAGTATTGTCTCTCTTGTTTGTTAAAAGAAAACAGAAACTGTAGTAAGTTACTTTTGAACTAAGTTTCAAGTTTAACTTTAGTCCACTTTTTGTAATAAAGCGACATGAAGTTGGAACGGGTTACAAAGTTTGTTTCTTTAGCTGTGACGAATGTAAACCAGTGCATGTATATGAAAAAATATAATGAAAAAACAAAAATGACACATTAAGCTGTCATTTTTGCAGATCATATAAAACAGTCATATTATATTTATTGAAGATATAAATTAAACAATAATAGTTTAAGCTCTTTGGGTGATTTCTGCTGATAATATTTTTGAAAGATAATATCCAAAAGACGAAATTAATTATTTTGTGTTGCCAGATTTTCTTAAATTATCATCACCAACTGCAAAAGAAACCTCGTTGGCCGCTTAAAAAATGTTCATATCTAATAGATAAATCATTGTGTAAAATGAAACACACTTTGTTTAGCCCGTTTTAAATAGTGAATTTGTGAAATAAGCAGTAGGCTCTGGAGAACAACAGACAAGTATTGTTAAGTTACTTTAGAACTACGTAATAGAAAATTTGAGAATATTGTCTGGTATAGTCAAACTATACCCTTGGTTATTGGTTTGCATTACGAATATAGCCCTTATTGCGACGTCATAAAGGCAATATTACGTGGATAACATTTAACACAGCAATATAACGCATAGAGTGCTGTTAATATTGAATATATATATATATATATATATGTAATAAATATTTCCAACACACACACCAATTAGCCTGGCCCCAAAGTAAGCACTATAAGGCTTGTGTTATGGGATGCTAGGGTAACGGATAGAATACATATACTGTACATATATAAAGTATATTTATATAGAAATACATATTAAACATCCATGACTGGAGTACAAATGCTCGTATACATCACACAAACATCTGCCCCCACCGGGATTCGAACCTGGGACCTCTCGAGTCGGTGACACCATGAAACCCGGCGTACAAACCACTCGGACACGAAGGTCGTCAAAATAATTTATTTTAAATATTTTGACGACCTTCCTACCCTACCCTACTACTGCGTTTTTGCAGTTTGAATGCAATCCGCATACTTAATTCTGAATGCCAATTGGACAATTGTAATTTGAATGCAGTTGGCATGACTGCAACGAAATTGCAAACCAAACGCCGTTGGAACTGCACACCGTCTGCAATCGGACTGCATAAGTGATTATTGATATTAGCGTGAGTGATATTACCGTGAGGTAATGTTATTAATAAAGTATTGTAACTCGACCGTTTTTTTTTTAAAAGTTAGCTACTTTTAGCGTAGACAAGCAGTAGGGCCGCCTGCCTACAGTACCTATTTGATTTTATCCACCTTTTTAAGTTTCTTTCTAGTTTTGTGTTTGTTAATATCATATTTATTATTAAATATACATTAGAAAAAAATACACGTAGACTAGGCAGCAGACGGAACTCGAACCCGCACATAAACTACGATTTCAAAGTAGTAGTGCAGCTAAATAGGCCGGCTAGATGCAGACTTCATATCAAATTATGTCCACAAATGACTTGACTGTATGTGGCACCAAAACGTGCTAATTATATTATACTTATTTTTAAAAGAACTATTATTTACTTATTTTGTTGAACAAAATGAAAGAAATGCAAGCAATTTGTGATGTATTCTACTAACCAATGGCGCACTAACAATATTATAAATAATTTTGTTTTATTTTAATTGTAAATAAGTACAGTTGAGTGCAAGACAATTGAGCGCGGTCGTTCATCGTTCTTGAATATTTTATTTGAACAGATTTTGTATAATATTGCAAGGTATTAACCTTATTATTTTTTATACCATTAATGCACTCTTATTATATATGAATTAGAATAAAATTTTATTTTAAACATTGCGAATAATATAACCGATACACTTTATCGGACTATAGCAGCTGCGCTAAATATGATATTAGTTTATTAATTAACCATTCATATTACTTATTATAAAATTTCTCGCGCATAAAATAATCATTACAGTGTATAAGTCACTATTGTGCCATAACCTTCGAAGGCTATTTTTATACAGCCAGGTTTCAATTTATATTTATTATGATTCCTTTTTCTGTTCGCAAGTCACGGAGTAAAACGCACAAATTATACTGACAATAATTGTACAATCTAGTTTAGCTACAGAAATATTTATATAAGTATCAGCTACAAAATAAAGTTTAAATCAGTGTTTGTAATAAACCAGTGTCAATTAACATAATAATTTAAAAGGTCCAATTTACTTGCACTCAAGTGTATGTCATACCAAATGATAGGTTTATAAATATTTTGTAAATTAACCTTACTATTTACTAGTTTGTAAGTCTGTGTATAAGTCAATGAAATATTTTGTGGGTGTACATTCTGTAAGGTGCATAGTTATGGGTGTTTGCCATGGGCGGAAGTTGAAAAAACTTGACATTAATCTGTCCTTATCACGCTCCACAAGGAACGAAAAGAACAGACTGATGTCATGTTTACAAATAGCAAACACGAATAGCCAAGTGAAGTGCCGGCATTAAAAGTAAATAATGATTTTGACAATACTGCCGTACAGTGGTAGACAGAAATGTCATATTAATTTAATGATTCAATAAGTCACGCGCTGTCTCGTTCTATTGTTTCGAAAGTGACAGCTTCAACTTATGACAAACTTAAAAGTAAGTATCATTGAGGTTAGAGAGAAGGAGAATGATCGCTGTAGAAAATAGTGTCCCAGAAATATGGACAAAATAAGTGAGGCGCTGCGATCGCTAAGTTGTCTCAATAAAAGCGGGCTATTGTTGCTAATTGAAAATTTGAAAATTTGAATTTTTGCTAATTTGAAATGACCAATGTTGTGAAGAAAATTTGTACATTATTCAACTAACTTCATCTACTTGTACTCATCAACAGCCTACTTCACAGGTACTACTTACCGACGGCAGTGCGGTTGGTGGCTGAAAAAAGAACTATAAATTCTACAAATTTTCAGGGACAGGCGGGCTAATGGTTTAGCACGTGGCGATCGTTCTCCTTCTCTCTAACCTCCATGGTAAGTATACTTCTCTGAGTGCGTCTGTTAGTTATATTATTCGAAAGATTCAGATTTATTTTTAAACTGGTGTGATGCGTTTTCATGGGATTTCATGTCGTAAGGCCGTTGGCTTAAGTTGGATAATGCTATATCGATGGTTTATGTTTTGACTTTAAAATGCTATGCGAAATCACTATTAAGGCAGATTTTACAAGCTCGAGTAATATGTAATGCACAAATGTGATTACATTTCAAACCGAATTAGTGTTTTCATAAATCGTGATTCCTATAAATGGCAGCTCATGGCAAACACCCCAATTTTCGGGAGATTAATAGTTGTCGAGATTTTTTATACGAAAAAAAAGGAAATTTATTAATAATGTCCTGTGCAATGCAATACCTATTATAAATGCATTTAGTGTAATTCTTGTAAATGTTTGTTAAAGATACCATTGTAAATGTGTTGAATCTGTTAGAAAAAATAAACCATTGAAAAAAAATCACATGTAGTTTTCTTTGCCTACTGAACTAGTGTACCCAAATCGTTCTTTTTGAAGTAAAATTTCTATTTACACGGGGTGTAAATGGAATGGAAAATCCTCTGGAAAAGATGAAACGGAAATGCGTCACGAGCGTCACACTGTATGTAGCGTATGTATATATCTAATATATCAAATTCTCGTGTCGCGGTGTTTGTGGTTAAACTCCTCCGAAACGGCTCGACCGATTTTCGTGAAATTTTATGTGCTTATTCAGTAGGTCTGAGAATCGGATATAATCTATTTTTCATCCCCCTAAATGTTAAGGGTACCCTCCCCCCCATTTTTTTATTATATTAACATAATATAATAAAAAAAATAATTATATAGATATTTTTTTTTTAATTTTTTTTTATGGTACATCATTCAAAAATACATACAGCCCTAAATTTTCACCCTTCTACCACCAACCCCTATTTTTTATGGCGGTACGAAGTTCGCTGGGACAGATCGGACAACATCTATTTTTCATCCCTCTAAATGTTAAGGGTAATCCACCCCTAAATTTTTATTTTCAATTTTGATGATACAGCATTAGTAAATACATATATAACCCTGAATTTTCAACCCTTTACAATCAACCCCTATTTTACCATCGCGATTTTTATTTTTAATAATTTCTTTTTTTTTCTCAATTCAATTTGATCTTCCGCCTTCACCGGTCGATAACCGATCAACGATCAATCGATCAGTTATCCCCGCTAGATGTCTGCCTGAGTCACCTCTCATCCAGCAAACATCACGGAGTAGGGATGAGAAGGAAGCTGGTCTCCTGACTTCCTCAATATACAGTTGCCGGCCATTTTTTTTGGTTTCATTTGTGTATCAATAATCAATAATCAAAATCATTTATTCAGTTTAGGCTGTTACAAGCACATATGAATGTCTAGAAGCTACGCCATCGGTTCGTAAATCTACGGCGGGAGACCTTGTACTGAGAAGAACCGGCAAGAAACTCAGCAAGGGCTGTTTTTTTCTCCCTGTTTTATCATTTACAGAGTCGTCAAGTTGAAAAATGACTTCAGAGATGATTCATGAAGTCACCCTTCATTACATAATGTGAAATTATACATTAATTGTACACCTGCATTTTGATTGCTGTATCACACAGTATAAATACAAACAGAGTTATTTATAATAGGTGTAATTAAACATTTATATCTTAAATATCAAAGTAGTTAGGGCAGACTCATCTCCGCTGGCAGCACCCGTTCACGAGCATGACGCATGAACCAGCCATCGCTTCGCTCAACCATATTTTAGGGAACGTAACGACCCGCCTCACACCACCGAAGAGACTTTTAAGAGAGCATGACTACCCATAACCACCTATATCAACCACAACATATTTACTTAAACTTAAAGTCATTTATCTGTAGGACACTGCAAACAATTACAAAGCAAAAACAATGGAGAAATCATGACCACGCCGTTTTGTCATTCAAATCTTCTTAAATAGTCTGATATTCTTCCTTACGTAATCAGCTTTAAATACAGCTTTTCAATAAAAGTATCATCAACACATGATCCATAATATATATCATATAGAAATACCCGTTGGAATGGTTGGAACAGTTCAAACCCAAGCATTTTTGTCTGTAATATAATCAGACACTTTATAATAAGCATTCTTAATAAGAGTTTTTTTAATAGTCGATTTAAATTTAGTCAGGCTCAACTCTTGAATATTGCTTGGGACTTTATTGTAAAAGCGAACACAGAGGCCTCTAAACGAATTATTAATTTTGTGGAGCCTAGTAGCAGGTAAAGTTAACTTATTTTTACTTCTAGTATTAAGTGTATGTATTTCACTATTTTTAGTAAATAAACTAATATTTTTTTTGACATATACTAAGTTTTCATATATGTATTGTGATGCAACCGTCATTATGCCTATTTCTTTAAACTTATTTCTTAAAGAGTCCTTAACTTTAAGATTATAAATTGATCGAATAGCCCGCTTCTGCAACACAAATATTGTTTGAATATCGGCGGCATTTCCCCACAGTAAAATACCGTAACACATTACACTATGAAAATAACTAAAATAGACTAATCTGGCAGTTTCTATATCCGTTAACTGACGTATTTTCATTACAGCATATGCTGCAGAGCTAAGTCTCTTCGACAATTTATCAATATGTGG